TATCGTCGCCTATTTTGATGCTTGAAAAACGAGCTTTAAAATCGTCGCCTATTTTGATGCTTGAAAAAATCTGCTTTGAAAAATCGAAGCCTATTTTGGTGCTTGAAAAAATGTATTTTAAAAATACACGCCTATTTTGACACTTGAAAAAATATTTTAAAAATCGATGACATTTTTTGGTACTTGAAAACATGAATTTTAAAAATCCACGCTGATTTTGTTGCTTGAAAAAAAAATTCATTAAAAAATCCACGCCTTGTATTGGTCCCTGAAAAAATAATCCTTTTACAAATTCTTGAAACAAATCTTATAATATAGTTTTTTTTTTTAAATTTCAGATGATTAAATCACAAAACGGGATAACTAAAACAACAACAAACTGAATTAAGAAACGACAAATTAAACTGCAATGGGAAATTATTGACAATTTTTCTTTTCTTTTTGTGTATTTATGTATGTTTGGCCTCCATAATATTACGAGCAGCAGAAAAAACAAACTGATCAAAAAATAAATAAAAAATTAATATAACATTTATTATCACTACATATAAATAAAAAAATACGAATACCTATACAAACGGACTATGTATATTGAATAACTTTAGTTCTTAATTATGTAATAGAAACGAAAACATAACAAAACACGCAGACATTCTAAATAATCTCAAAAAAAAAAAAAACTGGGCTGGTATTATTTAGAAATGTTGTTATAAATTTATACATACTATACATATATAAAGAAAAATTAATTATTTTATTTTATTCAATTTGGAAATAAAAACTAAACTAAAATATTGTAATAATTACAAAAATAAACATATACATGATAGAAGTTTCCTATATAATGCATAAAATGCAAGCAGAGAAAAAAGAAAAACTGGAAATCCCACAAATTAAATTAAAAAGCAACTACCACCACTGTAATTATATTTTAAATAAAATATATTTTAAAATTAAAAAATTATGATAAATAAATAAACATATAAATAAACTCCACACTTTGCACAATTCAATTCATTTACAACACTGTATATATAAACACTGGCAATCGTATTATTAAATCTTAATAATAATAATAATATTTTATGTGTATTATTAAATGTATACTATATTCGAATTACACATACACTACAAATTTACTTAATATCTGAATATATACAAATAATATTTCAAAAAAAAAAAACTAAAACACACAAAAATAAATAGATGAAATAAAATGAAAATGAAATAGAAAAATTATTCTACAATTTCTGTTTTAATATGTAAATAGAAATATATGTATACAGTGTGTCAGAAATGACTTTACACAGGAATGGTCTTTGGAAAAATATTCTTTAACAAATTCACGCTTATGTGAGGGTCTTGAAAAAAACATTCTTTAAATAAACTACTCTTCTTCCTTTTTAGAATATAATTTAAAAATCTACGCTTATGTGGGGATATTGGGAAAAGAAAAAAATTATTTTAAAACTCCACGCCTATTTTGGTACTTGAAAAAAATATATATTTTAAAAATCTACGCCTTTTTTGGTTCTTAAAAAATTATTTTAAAAATCCACGGCCATTTTGGTCCTTCAATAAATATTTATTTAAAAGTTCCAAAAGTACTAGTCCATATTATTTAAACATACACGTTTATGTAGGATACTTGAATAAATATATGGGGTCTACCTCAAAAACTAAATCAATCAGCCCAATTGTCAAAAATAATTCCGTAATAATACTATTCCATGGTACAATAAATAGTTAGTCCATTTAGAGCAGCTGACGTCTGGATTAACTGTCAAAGTGTGTAATTTCTACCATGGTATAATAAAAGAAGGTAACAGCAAGTGTTGTTGTACAACCAACGATGCAACAACCACATGAAAACTTGTTTTTGTAAGTTATACTAGTGTCAACGACATTTGACAGAAAAATGTAAACAAACAAATAAATTATATTTATATTGAAAATGAAATATTTTCGAATCCTCAAAATAAAATTTGAAAATCATGAATGAAAATCTATAAAATTTATATTTCTATCGCTTCCACATCTTTCCTATAATTGAACCATTGCCTCTTATATGTGTAGCTCATATGAAAATGCTAGGAATTGCGAGTTATTCCATGAAGAAAGATTTGCTTCGTCAAACTTTCCCAGCAGGCAGATTGAGTAAATTGAATACGGGAGCACATTTAATAAAGAAAATTTTCAAATAGTATGCGTTCCCAATTTTCCTGTTGGGTGATTTTTAAAAACATAACTTGTCAAATTCATATTGGCACTAGTGTTACGTTGGAATCAAATCAGCTGGGACTTGCTGTTACCTTTTATAATTGTACCATGAATTTCTACTTGAATTCGATGTGCAGTGTTGCCAACCATGCGAAATATTATAAGGAAAAATTTGTCAGATAATCAAGACAAAAACAAAGGTTTTTATTTCATTTTTTTTTTTTTTTTGTTTCAATTCCATATTCCAAAAATTGTACTCCTGTATTTTCCACGATTGGGGAATTTTTTTCTCAAGAGAAATGCTTTCTGTGGGAATAGAATTTCTCCCACATTTTGGCGATTGGGCTAAATATTAATAATTTTCGGTACGGAGAGGTGTTATACAATGAGGACCCGAAATACTATATAACAGCCGATTCGGTTGAAAAACGTCTTCAAAATCGATAAAATACCGAATATTGGGGAAACCGTTATATGCCGGCTACACTGGAACGTGAGTCAATATTAATAATTTTTGTCATGGGGATGTGTTGTACAATGAGAACCCAAAATAACAAATTACAGCCGAATTGGTTGAAGAACGTCTTCAAAATCCCAAAAATATTTAGGGGTACCGTTATATGGGTGCTACCCTGAAACGTGGGTCAATAATAATCATTTTTTGTACAGACATATATTGGGCAATGAGAACCCAAAATACCAATTTACATGCATTTTGGTTGAAAAACGTGTCAAAAATCCTCAAAATACCGAATATTGGAGCTCCGTTTAAATAGGGGTTGTACTGAAACGTGTGTCAATATTAATAGGTTTTGCTGCGGAGATGTGGTATACAATTAGAACCCAAAAAACCTAATTACAGTCAATTTGGATGAGAAACGTCCTAAAAATCTCCAAAATGCCGAATATTGGGTAGTACCGTTGTATGGGGGCTACACCAAAATGTGAACGGATATATCCCATTTGCAATACCAAACATCCAAGGAGTATTAGCAATATGTGTGTAAATATTCAAAGCTTTATCTTAAAAATTGCGAGCTCTATCGTGATTTCCACAGCCTGCCGGCGGGAAATGTCTTAACCGACATAGAATTTTATTCTGATCGATACCTAATGGCTTTTCCGGTGAATATTTCAAGGTGATGCAAACGGAATCAAAGGGAATTTAATATACACTCCGCTCGAGTTCCAAACAGTAATTTTAACAAATTTCTCAAGTGAGCATTTCGACCTAAGAACACTTACATAATTTCATGCAAATTCTTTCCTGAAATTTCGTTAGCGTGGGTAGGGAATTATATAGGCTACTTGAATAAATATTCTTTAAAATAATTCCCGTTCTTAAAAAAATTCTTTAAGAAATCCACGTTTCTGCATATTTGAAAAAAACATAAATTCTTTAAAAAAAATCGACTTTTGTGATCCTTAAAAAATATTATCTTTATAAATCTACATTCCTTAAAACAAATCCAGAAATATTTGTATCATATTTTATATAAATCTGTTCAGATTTTGTCCATATATTCATAACAAACCGACAAATTGAATTCGATTAAAACAACTGAACTAAAGGTGTTTAGAAACATAACAAAAAGAAACAGCACAAAGCTGTCGTCCGAATTTTTATCGGCGGACAAATTTTTACATCCGGCATTGGAATACGGTCGCAAAAAGACCAAAGCTGGTGGTCATCTTTTTGCGGCGGCTATATAAACATGTGCGGCATTGTGAAAATACATACATAAACAATGCAATTTTCGCACACCAACACACATATGTTTATATAGCCACCGGTAAATTCCAATGCTGGATTCCAGTAAATAGGCGTTGTTACAGCTCAAACTGGTTTGCTGTGACAATGCAAATTTGGAAAAGTTTAGTTTCGTCCCGGTTATCTAATTGCGCGCAACTAAAAGTGTTCCCCCCGTACCAAGTGAAAAAAAAGTGTGAAATTTAAAAATTAAAAGTTTGAATATTTTACAGACACACAACACATCAAACATACAATCACAGTGACACCAAACAACAATAAGGTGAAAATACAAAACCGACAGAAAGTTACAACGCAAATCAAGAACAAAAACAGTGAAACACGAAAACACAAACTCATCCCTTGAATCCCTGCCGAAGGAGTACATAAGTTTTAATAAATAAATAAGTTAAAACTTAACCTAAACTGGAACATGAATTTTTACAACAACACTGAATTTAAAACTTATACCTAAAATTATGCTAGTTAAAATTGAATTAAAACCTAAAACTTATGCCTAAGAATTTTGCTATATAAAATCTAAATGAAATACCAATTAAACAAGTTGAAATGAAATACAAAAACAAACACCTTAAAACTTAAGCCTACACTGTTAAAAAATTGAAATACAAAAAAAGAGAAATATTAAACCTAAAATAAGTTAAATTATTGTACCAAAAAAACCCTAAAGCTACAAAAAAAGAAAAATAAAAACCAAATAGGAAATTGAATGAAATATTAAACCAACAATAAATATCTTTCAATAAAAAAAGGAATTAAAAGGTTAAAAGTACAATAATTAAAGGTTTAAGAAACAAAAGGAACTAATTTAAACGAATGACCTGAAACTCGTTCCGATCATTCATTTCACGAAGTCGTTGTTTTGAACAGTTTCGTTCGTTTCCAAACCACTTAACTCTTAACAAAAGCAAGGGAAGCCCCGACTAAAACAAAAACCGCAATCTTCACAATAAATATTAGAACATATTTAGGAGCGATACAGAATTGACCAACCCGACCTCGAGAAGACATGGGAGAAGTACAGAAATATGTAAGTTGCCTTGTATGTAAAGTGTCAATGTGTAACAGTGATGGCTTAAGTCTAGTTTAGGGGCTCCACCCGGATCGCGGAAATTTTTGCCGTAAGTAGTCCTCGTTGTGCTGATTACAGTGATATATATTTTATGTGGGGGAAATGCATACTTCCCGAGATATGGGCCTTGAAAGTTTGGAATATACCTTGGTTAAAACGGCCGTTTTACTAATGCCACCAAAGCAATATGGGTATCATTTTAAAGGGTTTGAATAGTGCTTTAAAAATAAATATAGTATATCATTGTAAATTATATAATATTAACTAAAATTGAAATAAAAAACGTTTGGATTGCGTAGCCATGTATGCGCCTGTCCATAGGTGAAAGTCTTAAGCCCCGGCCGAAGGCCGGCTACTTAAACAACCTTGAATTTGATTTGAAAATTGCTCTTAAAAAGGATTTGGATTGCGTAGCCATGTAAAACCTTGAATTTGATTTGAAAATTGCTCTTAAAAAAGGATTTGGATTGCGTAGCCATGTATGCGCCTGTCCATAGGTGAAAGTCTTAAGCCCCGGCCGAAGGCCGGCTACTTAAAAAACCTTGAATTTGATTTGAAAATTGCTCTTAAAAAAGGATTTGGATTGCGTAGCCATGTATGCGTCTGTCCATAGTTGAAAGACTTAAGCCCCGGCCGAAGGCCGGCTACTTAAAAAAACCTTAAATTTGATTTGAAAATTGCTCTTAAAAAAGGATTTGTATTGCGTAGCCATGTGTGCGCCTGTCCATAGATGAAAGTCTTAAGCCCCGGCCGAAGGCCGGCTACTTAAAAAAACCTAAATTTGATTTGGAAATTGCTCTTAAAAAAGGATTTGGATTGCGTAGCCATGTATGCGCCTGTCCATAGGTGAAAGTCTTAAGCCCAGGCCGAAGGCCGGCTACTTAAATAACCTTAAATTTGATTTGAAAATTGCTCTTAAAAAAGGATTTGGATTGCGTAGCCATGTATGCGCATTCGTTGTAAGCTTTAAAATGATACCCATATTGCCTTTGTGGCAGTACTAAAACGGCCGTTTTAACCAAGGTATATTCCAAACTTTCAAGGCCCATATCTCGGGAAGTATGCATTTCCCCCACATAAAATATATATCACTGTAATCAGCACAACGAGGACTACTTACGGCAAAAATTTCCGCGATCCGGGTGGAGCCCCTAAACTAGGTATGCCATTGTTTTTCCTGGAAGTTGCCAGTCCGTATAGATTGCCGTTAATTTCGGAAATATTTAAACGTTATGGGGTATAGATTTCGGATCGCCAGCATTTCTAAGAATTAACATATCCTAATTTTATAATTTCAGATCCATCCAATTACGATTGAGGCAAAACTCTTTGCCGAAAATATGAACAAATTATGTTCGACCCCAGACTTCTATGTTATAGATCCGCAACTAGCCGAAGCATTGGAAAATGTCATGACCAGCATAAATAATTTCTTAGAGAAAACCACAAAGGAAATTATACCCACCGAAAATACCAAACTTGTAGAGGTGGAAAAAATTCAAAAACTTCAACGTTTATACCTATGCCAGTTGTGTCGCAGAGATTTGGGTGGCCAACCCACTAATGTGGCACTGCATTTAACTGAAGAATGTATGGTGGTGGAAAATGGACGTAACGTTCCTGCTGCAGTAATCTCCAAGGAAGATCGTAAGAAAAAGAAGGAAGAACGCAAAGAGAAAAAGGCAAAACGTAAGGAGGATCGTCTGCAGAAGGCTGTGGTCTTGAAGAAGAGTAAGTTGTATTTGATTATTTGAATATTGGGCAAAAAAAAAAAACAATTCACTTATTGGGAATAAATTTCCGAATATGTTACAATTAAAAAATCAACAACCCTTTTGAAAATTATTATAAGATTGTGGTATTGAGGGGGAAATCCATACAGCATAACGGAGATATGGTTGTTGCGATTTTTCGATAATACCTTCACATTTCTAAAGCCTCCAACATAAGGCGGAGCTCTGAAATTTTGCACAGACATTTTTGGTACTCCTACGATGTTTGGTATAGCAAATGGGATATATCGAACAACGATCCACATATACCGGTACCACAAAATATTCGGCATTTTAGCAATTTTAAACACGTTTTTCAGCCGAATTGGCTGTGAATTCGTATTTTGGGTTCTCATTGTGTAGCACATCCCCGTACCAAAAATTATTAATATTTACCCAAGTTTCAGGGTAGTCCCCATAGATTTTTTAAATATGTTTTTCAACCGAATTGGCAGAAATTTCTCCGTCTCCGTACAAAAAATATTAATATTGTGACCTAATTTTCAGGGTAGCCCCCATATAACGGGTTATCATGGTATAGCACATCTCCGTACCAAAAATCATTATTATTGGCTCACGTTTCAGGATAGCCCTCATATAACGGTACCCTAAATATTCGATATTTTGGCGATATTGCGTACGTTTCTCAAGCAAATTGTCTGAAATTTGATATTTTGGGTTCTCATTTTATAACACATGTCCGTGCCAACAATTATTAATATTGATTCACTTTTTGATACCCCATATAACGGTACCTCCCATTATTCGGTATTTTGAGGTTTATGGGCACGTTTTTCAACCGGTATTGATTGTAATTTGTTATTTTGGGTTCTCATTGTATTGAACATCTCCGTACTAAAATGTGTTAAATTGGTCCACGTTTTAGGATAAGCCCCCATATTACGGTTAACCCCAATAATATTTTGGGTTCTCATTTTATAGCACTTCTTCGTGCCAAAAATTAATTATTTAGGTTAGACTCCATATAACGGTATCTTCCATTATTTGGTATTATGAGGATGGAAAGGAATTGTCTGTATTTTGGATTTTCATTGTATAATACATCTCCGTACTAAAAATTATTAATATTTTCCCCAAATTTCAGGGTATCACCCATTATTATCATTAATTATCTATTTTTTTAATTCCTTTTTTCTTCATAACTATTTTCAGAGGCCCGTTTCTTCCATGCCTCAGATCAAATTGCCGCCTATCGACAACTAACAACAGCCATACAAATTGGTGATAAACTTAAATGTATACCCGATTATGAGGACATTGAAAAGGATCTATTGGACTTAATTATACCACTGTTTCCCAATCAAACGATTAAAATCTATAAATTTGGTTCCCGAATATCGGGCATTGGTACACGTGATTCCGATCTGCATCTGTTCATAGACATTGGTGACACCTTTAAAATCTATCACAATCGTGCCGATCAAGCAACTATAGACAAATTGAATAAAGTACGCAAGGCGCTTAAGAATCACAAACAATCGTGGAAGGGTCTGGTGGCCGTGGAAAAGGCTCGTGTACCCATATTAAAAGTAATACATGGTTCAACAAGTATTGAATGTGTTATAAATTTCTCAAATAGTTTGGGCCACATCAATACCCAACTTATGGAGTATTTATTTGGTTTGCAGCCAATTGGTGAGTAATGAAATGGAATTATAATTTATTTTTTACTACTTTTACTAAATAATGATTATTTTTCTTCTTTTTCTTCCCGATATTTTCACCACCACACAGCTCGAATACTTTGTATTTATATGAAAAAATGGTTGCATTTAATTAGCATGAGAACTGAATTCAATACCTATACCCTCAACTTAATGGTGATTTTCTATTTACAAACATTGAAACATTTACCTCCACTTTCGATACTATTTGACAAGGTTGATACCTCAACGGCTCTATTTGTTGGACGTAAGTAATAAAGGGGATAGTAGCTTAGCAAGGAACAAAGATCCATTAATTGTATTTTTCTTCTTGCAGCATGGTTGGCCACCTATACCACACCAAATTTGAAAGATTTAAAAATAAATGTAGTTAAAACCAGTAAATTAATAAAATTGATTGCAGGATTTTTTGAATATTACAAGAATTTTGATTACAAGAAATATATAGTTTGCCCCTACAAAGGTGAACTGGTAGAACGCAGAAAATTCAATAAGTTTATGCCGGATAGGTAATTTCAATATATATAGTTTTTAGTTTCTCTAAACTATTTATATCATATTTTTGTATTTTTTTTTTCAGGTATATAAATCATGAAATTGCATTGAACAAACCAATGATTATTCAAGATCCAATCCAGCTCAATCACAATATAACAAAGGGCATTAGTATCTTTACCGTGGAAGTATTCCGGGAATTTATGTCGAAATCTTTGCAAATCATTTTACAAAACAAAAAAATGCATATGTATGGGAGACTGCGGTACCTTCGGCGTCTTCTGTAATATTTCAATTCCATTTCGTAAGAATTTCGTGTATAAAACTTTTTAAATTTTTAAGACAATATTATTAAAAAGTGGTTAACTACGATGTGTATTATTATAAAAATATTTAAAAATGTAATGTTTTTACAAAACTGATCGAAAAAATGAAAAAAACTATAAAAAGTACATTCGACATTTTAAAGTGGGGCACATTCGGCCATATACAGATAGTGCAATATTACTTCCTTAAAATGTTTTTGAGTTTGTCTTTAAAACTAATCCTTTAAAATGGTTCGAAATTGCATATATAAGATCAAGCGTGCTTGTATTGACGAAAATGCGATAGAAAACGCCTATTTCTGATGGTGTGTGCGACCTTGAGATGTAAACGTCCGCCGCTAGAAAATAAAGGCCTATAATTCAAACATTGTGTGGCGTATTAAAACCAAATAGAGCTTTTAGAGGATCAGATTTTGAACCAGACTGATAGCGATGACAATTACCCGGCTATGACTATGGTGCCGAATGTACCCCATCAAATGCCGAAGCTACCCCGGGTTGGGGCACATTCGGCGAATTTGACTTTTTTTACAAAACTGTAAAATTTTTTAACTTATACTATTTTTTTATATCTTTTTGGTACTATTTTTTATAATTAAGTGTCAGAGGACAACAATCAGCCATAAAGTTGTTATATATGTTAAATAAGTTCTGAGATATAGAGCTCTAAAAAAAAGTGCCGAAGGTGCCCCAGTCTCCCCTACAATTTTATTTTAATAACATAATATAAATAAATACGAATTGTTATTTATTCTATATGTATTGTAAAGCAAATGTTGAATAAATTAAATGTGTTTATTTTTTATTACAACAATAAAAAACAATATTTTTTTAAACATTTGGAAATTAGTTATGTTGATATGTACTATAGAGCTACTTAATTAAAATATATTTAAAAAAACCACCGTTGAGATAATCCTCGCAAATATATTTATAAAATATTTTTGTCATATATTCCTTTAAAAAATACAACACTACCTACCTATACAACATAACTCATTTGCGCGTTGCCAACGTCATTCGTAATAGACCTTGGGTGACCTTATTAATAGACCTTGATTGAGTAACTACTTACTTACTAAACTACTCCGTCTATTTACAACACTGACACGACATCCCACCTCATTCGTAAACAATTCGGTTCTCATTTAGTCTCCACCCCACCTTATTCGTAAATATTCTTCTTTGCCGGCCATTTTGTTTTCTTCTCCCATGATGCAATAATAAGGTAATGTATCAAAACAAAAACATTTGTTTTTGTCTCGACCATCTGTCAAATGTTTCCTTATAATATTCCACATGGTTGGCAACACTGCACATCAAATTCAAGTAGAAATTACCCACTTTGATAGTTAATCGAGATATCAGCTGGGTTAAATGGACTACCTATCCATTGTGCCATGTCTCCTCCCATTCGTTAGCAAGTTTGCTATCAAAATTCATTATTGTGAATTGACTTCCATTTTGAAAACCTAAACAAAGTTAAAATTGTTGGCATTAGGCTTGAGAAAAAAACACAGTTGTTTTTCGTTTTCGATTGCTACCTGAGTAATAGCCTAGACAGACTACAGCCTTAATTTGCATTAACAGCCTTAATTCAAATTAATTAAATGCAATAGATGCTAATATATACAATATCCTGTAGATAGAACAGACATATAATTTTAAGAGGACCATTGAAATACAATGGGGCGAAACAAAATGTGTGATCTACATAGATATTTGAACCAATTAAAAAACCCATGCACGTACCATTCTGAAATCTATGAAAAATTGTATGTCAATCGGATTCTTTTGTGTACCATTTGTATGAAATCGACCAAAATAATGTATGTGGAGATATGTGAATCTGGACCAAATTGAGAAATATATCTAAAACTGAACCGATTTCATCAAAACTTCGCGTACATCAAACTGGACCTAATCTAGTACCCTGTGCAAAATGTTGTCTGAATGGGAAAAATATTAGAATTTTGGTGCACCATAATTTACACAAAATCGGACTATACTAGATATATGGGAACTACATATGGGAGCTATATCTAAATCGGAACCGATTTCAACAAAACTTCGCACACAGCAAACTGGACCTAATCTAGTACGATGTGCAAAATTTTGTTTCAGTCTGACAAATTGTGCGAGTTTGGTGCACCATTTACCTAAAATCAGACGAAACTATATATGGGACCTATATATAAATCTGAAACGATTTTCAAAAAAAAAAAACTTCGCACACATCAAACTGGACCTAATTCCGTACGCTGTGCAATATTTTGTTTCAATCGGACAAATTTTGCGAGTTTGGCGCACCATTTACCTAAAATCAGACGAAACTATATATGGGAGCTATATCTAAATCTGAAACGATTTTCACAAAACTTCGCATACATCAATCAGGACCTAACTTACAGCCGATTCGGTTGAAAAACGTCTTCAAAATTGGCAAAATATCGAATATTGGGGGTGCAATTATATGGGAGCTACTCTAAAACGTGGGTCAATATTAATAATTTTTGTTATGGGAATGTGTTATACAAAGAGAACCCAAAATACCAAATTACAGCCGATTTAGTTGAAGAACGTCTTCAAAATCCCAAAAATATTTAGGGGTACCGTTATATGGGTGCTACCCTGAAACGTGGGTCAATAATAATAATTTTTTGTACAGACATATATTGGGCAATGATAACCCAAAATACCAATTTACATGCATTTTGGTTGAAAAACGTGTCAAAAATCCTCAAAATACCGAATATTGGAGCTCCCGTTAAATAGGGGTTGTACAGAAACGTGTCAATATTAATAAGTTTTGCTGCGGAGATGTGGTATACAATTAGAACCCAAAAAACCTAATTACAGTCAATTTGGATGAGAAACGTCCTAAAAATCTCCAAAATGCCGAATATTGGGTAGTACCGTTGTATGGGGGCTACACCATAATGTGAACGGATATATCCCATTTGCAATACCAAACATCCAAGGAGTACTAGCAATATCTGTGTAAATATTCAAAGCTTTATCTTAAAAATTGCCAGCTCTATCGTGATTTACACAGCCTGCCGGCGGGAAATGTCTTAACCGACATAGAATTTTATTCTGATCGATACCTAATGGCTTTTCCGGTGAATATTTCAAGGTGATGCAAACGGAATCAAAGGGAATTTAATATACACTCTGCTCGAGTTCCAAACAGTAATTTTAACAAATTTCTCAAGTGAGCATTTCGATCTAAGAACACCTACATAATTTCATGCAAATTCTTTCCTGAAATTTCGTTAGCGTGGGTAGGGAATTATATAGGGTACTTGAATAAATATTCTTTAAAATAATTCCCGTTCTTAAAAAAATTCTTTAAGAAATCCACGTTTCTGCATATTTGAAAAAAAAAACATCAATTCTTTAAAAAAAAATCGACTTTTGTGACCCTTAAAAAATATTATCTTTATAAATCTACATTCCTTAAAACAAATCCAGAAATATTTGTATCATATTTTATACAAATCTGTTCAAATTTTGTCCATATATTCAAAACAAACCGACAAATTGAATTCGATTAAAACAACTGAACTAAAGGAACTAATTTAAACGAATGACCTGAAACTCGTTCCGATCATTCATTTCACGAAGTCGTTGTTTTAAACAGTTTCGTTCGTTTCCAAACCACTTAACTCTTAACAAAAACAAAGGAAACCCCGACTAAAACAAAACCGCAATCTTCACAATAAATATTAGAACATATTTAGGAGCGATACAGAATTGACCAACCCGACCTCGAGAAGACATGGGAGAAGTACAGAAATATGTAAGTTGCTTGTATGTAAAGTGTCAATGTGTATTAGTGATGGTAAAATCTCTGCATCATTCGACAAAGTCATTGCAATGCGGTGAAACTTTGGTGGTAGATGCTACAGGTATGCCATTGTTTTTCCTGGAAGTTGACAGTCCGTATAGATTGCCGTTAATTTCGGAAATATTTAAACGTTATGGGGTATAGATTTCGGATCGCCAGCATTTCTAAGAATTAACAGCCGCTTGCATTTGTCACCCACGGAGATCATTTCCCACACAACGTTTTACAAAAAATTGAGTGTTCTCTGGACTAATTAAAAACATATCCTAATTTTATAATTTCAGATCCATCCAATTACGATTGAGGCAAAACTCTTTGCCGAAAATATGAACAAATTATGTTCGACCCCAGACTTCTATGTTATAGATCCCCAACTAGCCGAAGCATTGGAAAATGTCATGACCAGCATAAATAATTTCTTAGAGAAATCCACAAAAGAAATTGTACCCACCGAAAATACCAAACTTGTAGAACTGGAAAAAATTCAAAAACTTCAACGTTTATACCGATGCCAATTGTGTCGTAGAGATTTGGGTGGCCAACCCACTAATGTGGCACTGCATTTAACTGAAGAATGCATGGTGGTGGAAAATGGACGTAACGTTCCTGCTGCAGTAATCTCCAACGAAGATCGTAAGAAAAAGAAGGAAGAACGCAAAGAGAGAAAGGCAAAACGTAAGGAGGATCGTCTGCAGAAGGCTGTGGTCTTGAAGAAGAGTAAGTTGTATTTGATTATTTGAATATTGGGCAAAAAAAAACAATTCACTTATTGGGATTTCCGAATATGTTACAATTAAGAAATCAACAACCCTTTTGAAAATTATAAGATTGTGGTATTGAGGGGGAAATCCATACAACATAACGGAGATATGGTTGTTGCGATTTTTCGATAATACCTTCACATTTCTAAAGCCTCCAACATAAAGCGGAGCTCTGAAATTTTGCACAGACATTTTTGGTACTCCTACGATGTTTGGTATAGCAAATGGGATATATCGAACAACGATCCACATATACTGGTACCCCAAAATATTCGGCATTTTGGCAATTTTAAACACGTTTTTCAGCCGAATTGGCTGTGAATTCTTATTTTGGGTTCTCATTGTGTAGCACATCCCCGTACCAAAAATTATTAATATTTACCCAAGTTTCAGGGTAGTCCCCATATAACGATACCCCAAATATCCGGTATTTTGTAGATTTTTTAAATATGTTTTTCAACCGAATTGTCAGAAATTTCTCCGTCTCCGTACAAAAAATATTAATATTTTGACCTAAGTTTCAGGGTAGCCCCCATATAACGGATTATCATGGTATAGCACATCTCCGTACCAAAAATCATAATTTTTTTTGGCTCACGTTTCAGGATAGCCCCCATATAACGGTACCCTAAATATTCGATATTTTGGCGATATTGCGTACGTTTCTCAAGCAAATTGTCTGAAATTTGATATTTTGGGTTCTCATTTTATAACACATCTCCGTGCCAACAATTATTAATATTGATTCACTTTTTGATACCCCATATAACGGTACCTCCCATTATTCGGTATTTTGAGGTTTATGGGCACGTTTTTCAACCGGTATTGATTGTGATTTGTTATTTTGGGTTCTCATTGTATTGAACATCTCCGTACTAAAATGTGTTAAATTGGTCCACGTTTTAGGATAAGCCCCATATTACGGTTAACCCCAATAATATTTTGGGTTCTCATTTTATAGCACTTCTTCGTGCCAAAAATTATTCACTTCACTTTTTAGGGTTGACTCCATATAACGGTATATTCCATTATTTGGTATTATGAGGATGGAAAGGAATTGTCTGTATTTTGGATTTTCATTGTATAATACATCTCCGTACTAAAAATTATTAATATTTTCCCCAAATTTCAGGGTATCACCCATTATTATCATTAATTATCTATTTTTTTAATTCCTTTTTTCTTCATAACTATTTTCAGAGGCCCGTTTATTCCTTGCCTCAGATCAAATTACCGCCTATCAACAACTAACAACAGCCATACAAATTGGTGATAAACTTAAATGTATACCCGATTATGAGGACATTGAAAAGGATCTATTGGACTTAATTATACCACTGTTTCCCAATCAAACGATTAAAATCTATAAATTTGGTTCCCGAATATCGGGCATTGGTACACGTGATTCCGATCTGGATCTGTTCATAGACATTGGTGACACCTTTAAAATCTATCACAATCGTGCCGATCAAGCAACTATAGACAAATTGAATAAAGTACGCAAGGCGCTTAAGAATCACAAACAATCGTGGAAGGGTCTGGTGGCCGTGGAAAAGGCTCGTGTACCCATATTAAAAGTAATACATGGTTCAACAAGTATTGAATGTGATATAAATTTCTCAAATAGTTTGGGCCACATCAATACCCAACTTATGGAGTATTTATTTGGTTTGCAGCCAATTGGTGAGTAATGAAATGGAATTATAATTTATTTTTTACTACTTTTACTAAATAATGATTATTTTTCTTCTTTTTCTTTCCGATATTTTCACCACCATACAGCTCGTATACTTTGTATTTATATGAAAAAATGGTTGCATTTAATTAGCATGAGAACTGAATTCAATACCTATACCCTCAACTTAATGGTGATTTTCTATTTACAAACATTGAAACATTTACCTCCACTTTCGATACTATTTGACAAGGTTGATACCTCAACGGCTCTATTTGTTGGACGTAAGTAATAAAGGGGATAGTAGCTTAGCAAGGAACAAAGATCCATTAATTGTATTTTTCTTCTTGCAGCATGGTTGGCCACCTATACCACACCAAATTTGAAAGATTTAAAAATAAATGTAGTTAACACCAGTAAATTAATAGAATTGATTGCAGGATTTTTTGAATATTACATGAATTTTGATTACAACAAATATATAGTTTGCCCCTACAAAGGTGAACTGGTAGAACACAGTGAATTCAATAAGTTTATGCCGGATAGGTAATTTCAATATATATATTTTTTTAGTTTCTCTAAACTATTTATATCATATTTTTGTATTTTTTTTCAGGTATATAAATTATGTTGCCGCTATGAAAGATCATGAAATTGAATTGAACAAACCAATGATTATTCAAGATCCAATCCAGCTCAATCACAATATAACAAAGGGCATTAGTGGCTTTACCGTGAAAGTATTCCGGGAATTTATGTCGAAATCTTTGCAAATTATTTTACAAAACAAAAAACCATGATTGCTGCCATTAAATGCATATGTAAAATTTTATGTTATTAACAAAATATATAGACGAATTGTTATTAATTCTATATGTATCGTAAAGCAACCGTTAAATAAATTGAATATGTTTATTTTTGTTACAATAATAACAAAATTTTTTACTTTTGGAAATTAGTTATGTTGATATGTACTATAAAGCTGCTTAATTAAAATATTACTTCAGTTGGGTGTTTACAAACAATTTCCTTGAGAGATCTACACATCAGTTGGGTGTTGAAAACATATTTTAAAAAATCACCTTTGGGATAATCTTCGCAAATATATTTATAAAATATTTATTTTTATCATATATCCCTTTAAAAAAATACAACGCTGCCTACCTATACAAAATAACTCATTTGCGCGTTGCCAACCTCATTCGTAAACAATTCGGTTCTCATTTAATCTCCATTTGGAACGTTTTTCAATTTGTCTACAATCGGTGAAAAAGGCCCGAAAAATTCATTCACTCGGCAATCTTCGTATACCAAAGATTTATACAAAAGTCGATTTACTTATCCCTACAGAGCATTTCGTCAAAGACATAAAAGTATAAAGATAGGACAATTGAATTTCCAAGTTGGCCGTTAGATGGCTTTTGCTCTGTTGTTACGATATCGTAACAACATTTTCTGTTAATTACAAAGAGAACTAAATTTTTTACTCTCTGAAATGCAATGGAATAATGACAGAAAAAAACTAGAGAGTTTAAAAACAATTTATATGGCTGGCAACATTCTGCAAATATATATGATGTGTTCCGCAATGTGCAAGGCGAATTTTTGTCGCTGCTACAGAAATGTATTAAATATACAATAAGAACAGAGTATGTACATATGATATATAATTATTATTATATATAACCAAAAATAACACAGTATTTTAGGTTTTTAGTAATTTTTGTAATATTAGAATCGTTTTAAACGACAACTTATTGAACATTGTATACACATGTGGTGTTGTGTGATTATTGTAAACCCCCGATGCAATGAAAACACTATGTAAATAGTGAAAGACCGCGAAAAAGCATTTCGATTTGTAAACGTAAGAAGGGAATCTATATTCACTACTTATTTCAATGAACTTAATAAAAATCTGGATACTATGAAGAGTCCTTGGAAAAATTAGTGCACAATATAAATATGACTATATGTTGTAATACGGATCTCAAATGCTTCAAATATACGCATATAGTCTTATACCATGTTCTGGCGGGCATTTGAACAACGTTGTTCTCTCTCTCTAATTATACCCTTCACCACACTGTGGTACAGGGTATTATGTCCTTGTGCATATGTTTGTAACAGGCAAAAGGAAACGAGATAGACACATGGTTCCTTTTGAGAATATGCATAGAATCACTCTCTATGTCTGTTTATGCATGTCCGTCCATCCGTCCGTCTATTTATATTAAATTGTAAACAAAGTACAGGTCGCATTTATGATCCGATTTGGATGACATTTGGCACAGCTCACTCATTTGGTCCAAGGACGAACCCTATTGAAATTGAAGAAAATCGGTTCAGATTTAGATATAGCTCCCGTATACGTTTTAGTCGTATTTTATGTAAATGGTGTACCAAAGTCTCTATATAACTTTCGATTTACACGAAATTTTGCACAGGGTACTGAATTGTGTCTAGAATGATATGTGCTAAGTTTCGTGAAAATCGCTTCAGATTTAGATATAGCTCTCATATATAGTTTTGTCAGATTCTATGTAAAAGGTGCACCAAAGTCCCCCATTCTCGGTGTCAAACTTTTTTTTATTTAATTCGAATCTACTCTTGAAGATATAGCCGATTTATTATGTCAGCATCAAGTGACGGCAAGAGTGATTCTCAAACTTTTAATGCATTTTTCTCGAAGCCGTGTTTCGCGAATGGCGAGCACGATAGCTCATAAACTAATAATCCAATCGTTTTGTTAGTACCAAATTAATAATAATAAAACATTTTTTAAGACTTTTTTGTTGTTATATAATTATTTATTTATTACCATAAATGAGTTTTTTTTTTCAATCACTTACTAATTTTGTGTGTTTTTATTTTTTTGAAGATTTTGTTTTGAGGAGGAAATAAAAACTTTGATGTGACGGAGGATATTTTATGTATAAGTAAAAAGATAGATTAATAAACCAGAGAGCGGAGCAGTATAGTCGAACGGGGCCGACCATATGATACTCTACACAACTTCTACGAAAATTTGACTTCCTGTAGTTCTATATTTTTAGTACCCTCTTGACCGACTAGAGGTCAACAAATATTACAAATATTCAGTACAGCCCTTCTAATTGCTTGTCCAGATTACCTTCACCGTGGGTTGTGCTGTGCTGTTCGGGCTGTGACCTATAGATCGACTCGTAAAAAACACAAAAAATTATGTTTTCGGTCCACTTCAGCCCAAAATTATTATCTGATCATCATCTGGGTTCAATTTTAACCCAAATCTCTTTGATTCGATTGAGGTGACAATGCCAATATATCGACAAACTCCTTGCTCGGCACACAAATCGGTGTACCAATTTTCACAATACCATTTTCGACCATTACACCCATGACAACGGGGCCACGACTGTTAAAGATGAACTGTGGCAGGGGAAGACGGCAATTGATTTAAATTCTTCAAAAAAAAGCACGAAAAAAATAGTAATAATTTCATTTCAAACAATCTCAAACTTCGCTTTGGTTACCATATTTTTCAAAATAATTAACATTGCTGTTAAGTATTTTTTGGTGAGAGAACATCAAAAAGTGCATTTTCCATTAAAATGTGTAGCCCTCTATAGCACAAATTTGACACTAATATTGGAAAATGCGTCTTGTCATATCTTTACGATTGTATGTCTTTGATTTCGTGAAGGGAAAAATTTTATTCATTGAGAAAATATTTTAAATAAAAATACACAGCCGAAGACTAATTTAATAAAAAACTTAGAATATGGAGCCATTGGCCGAAATCAATGCCAATGAAGATGGTAACATTAAAAACGAAACATCAGAGAATGCTGAAAATCCCGAGAATACAACAGCAAATGGCATTAGCACCGATGGGGCAGGTGCTGTAGTGACACCAAGCCAAGAAAATGCGGAAACCACGACAGAGAAAAATGATAAAGAATGGTAAGATACATACTTTCTATTATTCAATATTCAATTAAAATTTTTATTTTTACCCGTAATCCAGGGTACAATCGCAACCACCGCAAAAAACACCCATAATGACAGCTCCGCCTGGCTTTAGAATTGGTGCGGCGGCACCTGGTGCCGGCAGGGGAGTTGGTGTAAATATGCATATTAATCGAGCAGCTGTTAGAGGTGGTGCGGGTGCTGCTGCGGGCAACTTTGGTAATCCGAATTGGACAAACAACAATGCACCCGGAGGACTTCCAGGCGCTGGAGGTGGTGGTGTTGGCGGAGGACCACCACCATCACAATTGGAATTATGGGTTGAGACCAAAACTGAAGACGGCAAATCATACTACTATCATGCCTTGACAAGAGAAACTACTTGGACCAAACCGGAGGGACCAAATATCAAAGTAATGACTCAGGCTGAAATTGAAGAAATGAATAAAAAACAACAAATGATGCAGCATCAACAACAACAACAGCAGCAACATCAACCAAACCAAAATCAAGCAAACGGCGTTGTGGAAAAGGAAAAAACGGAAAATGCAGTTATGGCAGATAAACCTCCAACAACAACAACCAATATTCTAACATCGCAACCACCACCAGGGTTGCTATCGCAACCTCCACCAAATACCCAACCAACACCTCAACAACAACAGCATATACCACCACATCATGCAATGTCACAACCTCCACCTAATGTGGCTGCAGCTGGTGGCATGCCTGGTCATCCACAGGTATCACAACCTCCACCTGGTATGCATCAGCAACCACCGCCATTCTTTCCGCCTGGTGTTCATCCTCCCAATTTCGGTCAACACCCACCCTTTGGAATGCCTCCACCAGGCTATGCAGGCGGCTTTCCCGGAGCACCTGGTGGTCCTGGCGCTCCTTGGGGTATGCCCTGGAATCATATGCATCAAGTTCCGCCACAAGATAAGCCAGCCAAAAATCTCATCATTAAACCAGGTGTAATCGATCCAGCCGTCATAGCACGTGCAGCCGAATGGTCTGAGCATAGGGCTCCCGATGGCAGACCCTACTATTATCATGCGGGACGGGGTGAAAGTGTGTGGGAAAAACCTCAGGCATTACGTGACATGGAAGCGGCCCGTATGGCTGCCCATGGTGCACCACAAGTTGCCGCACCACCACCAGTTCACAATCCTGCCCTGATACCGGGTATACCTCCACATTTGATACCCCTAATGCATATGCAACCTGCAAATCATGCAGCAGCATATGTGGACCACTCGGCCGTGAAGGCGGCAGAAAATGCGAAAGTTTCTCAAACAGCTGCCCTTGAAAAGGAAGCCAAAAAATACGCAGAAGAAAAACGCAAAAAAGCTGAAGAAGAACAAAAGAAGGCAAATGCCAGTGCCAAGCCGGTAGATAAAAGTAGACCCATATCTAGTACACCCATACCGGGAACACCATGGTGTGTGGTGTGGACGGGAGATGCTCGGGTATTTTTCTATAATCCGTCAACACGTACCTCTGTATGGGAACGTCCTGAAGAGTTGCTGGAACGAGAAGAGGTCGATAAAGCAATTAACAATCCCCCAGAACAGTTGAAGAGTTTGGTCAATGCCAACAAAACAAATGCCAAGGACGAGAATGAAGATGAGAAGCCGGCAACAAATCATTCATCTGGTGGCAATACTTCGGCCGCAAGCAACAATGCATCAACAATCCATACAATTGATGATAATCAACAAGACGATGAGGATGATGGTATTATTAAAATTAAAACTGAATCTGATTCGGATGTTGAAGAAGTTCCCACCAAGAAGTTGCGTTTAAGTGAGTCTATTTTATTTGATAATTATGGGAAAATATTTGAAAATTCGTTTACCACTGTCTACTCTCTTAGATAAAACGAAAAAGGCCGATGCCAGTGAAGCTGCCGCTGAGGCCGAGGTTAGAGCAGCCAAGGAGCGGGCTTTGGTACCATTGGAAACCAGAGTTAAACAATTCAAGGAAATGTTGCGTGAAAAGGATGTAAGTATTTTTTAAAACACAATGCATTTTGGTTTTTGGAATTCTATAAATGAAAACAAAATTTTCAAACAATTAATTATTTATTTGTTTATTTATTAATATTTATTTTTTTGTCTTAGGTATCTGCCTTTAGTACATGGGAAAAAGAATTGCATAAAATCGTCTTTGATCCACGGTATTTGCTGTTGACATCCAAAGAACGTAAACAGGTGTTTGAGAAATATGTCAAAGATCGTGCCGAAGAGGAACGCAAAGAAAAACGTAATAAAATGCGTCAAAAGCGCGAAGAATTTCGCAATCTCTTGGAAGAATGTAAACTGCATGGAAAGTAAGTGTGAAAATGCATTTATTTTTAGAAAGATATTTTTTAAGGAACAGAACTGAAGATTTGCTCGAATGTGAAACATTTTCCCAAATTTGGTGTGCTCCATTCCGAATTCCCAAAAAATATTGGGAATATAATTCGAGCACATATAGCCTTGTGGATTGAACACAAAATTTACTTGTTTTTTATAGTTGAAAAAGAACGCTGAAGTAATATTTAACGTGTTTTTACAATATTTATTTAAAAAATACAGTATTTACATTCGTTTTTATAGTAAAATCCACAGCTTGCACACACTTTGTCTTCCAGGGCTTTTTTTACAATACTTATTTTTATTTTGCCACTTCTGAAATCCACCAACAGCCAGGAATCTTAAGGTAGCTGCTAACTGGCTTTCGGGAATGGTACCCTTGTGTATGAAAGGACCAACTTCTCTCAAAATATCCATAAATGCCTATTTTATCACGTTCCAGTATCATTAGACTTTTTCTGGTAGAAACCAGTGCAATTAATAAACCAGCAGGCATATTTTTTCTTAATTTTGTTGTTAAACAAATTGCAAATTCCAATGAAACATATGTTTTTTTATTGAACACATTTCGTAACATATTGAACACAGCTATGCTTTCGAGTGCACTTTCGCTCGGAATTGAGCACACCATTTTGCACAACATGGGAATTTAAAAAAGTATGGGAATTCAAAAACTCTCGGAACATGTCACATGGGCGTTTGTTATAGGGGCGTAGATTTTTTAAATATTTTTTTCTTGGTCTAACGGGAGCGTTGATTTTTAAATAATTATTTTTTCAAGGACTAACGGAAGCGTAGATTAAAAATTTGTTTTTTAATATATTTTTTGGAACACTTACAGGGGCGGGGATTTTTAAAATATATTTTTTAAGAACCAAAAGAAGCGTAGATTTATAAAATATATTATTAGGACCAGAATATATTACTAGGTCCCACAGGTTTTTAAAATATAGTTTTTCAAGGATAAGTGCGAAATTTTTAAATTTTATTTTTTCAAGGACCTGCAGCGTAAACGATTTTTAAAACGTTTTCTTTTGAGGGCCACAGAAGCGTTGATGTTTAATATATATTTTCAAGGACATACAGGGGCAAATATTAATTTGTAGTTCTTAAAGGACCTACAGGGACAAATATTATAAATTTGTAATTTTTAAAGGACCTACAGGGGCGAATAAGTTTTTTATTATATTATATTTTTTTCAATTGATTTTTTTTTGATTATTTTTTGTCTACTCAGACAATTGTGGATTTCTTAAATACATTTTTTTGAATACTCAGATTGGTGGATATTTTAAATTACATTATTACACAGACAATCGTCAATTAAAAAAAGTATTTTAAAGGACAAACAGAAACAAGGTTTTATATATTTTTTCAAGGACTGTCAGAAGACACGATTTTCAAAACAATTTTTTGTTGAAGACTAGATTAGATTTTTGGCTACATTACAGTCGTAGATATTTAAAAAATTTTCAATTTCGATATTTTGAAATACATTTTTTGTTTTTTTTTTCAGATCTTCATTTAGTGATTTTTGTCAACGCTATGGCAAAGATGAACGCTACAAGGCCATTGAAAAGCCACGTGAACGTGAAAGTCTCTTCAATGAATACCTTCTGGATGTAAGACGCCGCGAGAAAGAGGAGAAACAAATGAAAAAAGAGCAGGTATGTAAAGTAAAAGTTTATTTTCATTTTTTACAAGATTAATATTTGAATATTTCTGAAAAAGGAGAAATTCCTCTTCTTCTTTACAAATCAGTACGGAAGATGGGGAAATTCTTTGAAAAGTTCAAATTGTTAATCTCTCTTTTTGGTGGTTAATATAATTGTTGTTGTTCTTGTGTTTTTGGAAACAAAACCAAATCTTGTAAACAACTAAAACCTATTTTGTATTTATATATATTCTTAGCTATATTCATGTATTTTTATTACATATTATTACTATTGTATTTTTATATGAATATGAATTTGTTTGAATACCATGTATCTCTTAGCATTCCTTTTTCTAACAATAACACAATACCAATATATAAAAATATCAACATTTTTAAAAGATTTCAGCATTCAGTTATTACTGCTACTGCACAGCATATGCAGTTGGCTAAAATGTGTTGTTAACATTTTTTTGTTTTATCACTCAAAACAAAAACAAACAAAACATGGGTCCATAAATAAATGTGCCAGAGAAACCCCCACGAATATTCAGATGGTGGTTGCAAAAAGGTTTTTGTGAGAGAAGTGTATGTGAGAGAGAGAGAAAGAGGAAGGGAAGGTATATTAGGATTAATATGCCCCAGGAGTAGAGTAAGTGCGTCTAATCGCTTTTAGCAAATTTGTTCAAAATCTTGTTTAGCAAAAAACCTTTTTTTGTTACCCAAACATTTTCCAACAACCAACCAACAAATCAACTACCAGAATTGAAAACCATATGAAAAAACCAATTACCACATAAAGATCAACATGCCATGCCATGCTTCTATTCGCAACGTGAATGTGAGTGCTTGTGTCTCTGGAATATGATGGCAGAATATAGGATCGATCCATGGATGGATGGAATATGCACGAGTCTAAATTGGCCCAGTACAGTGAGAACAAAGCTAGCTTACTACCAAAACGCGTACATAACCTTTTTTCCACAACCATTGTGTGGTGAGTTACCCAAATCAAAACAAACAAAAAAACATCCCTATTCTCTAACAGAAATCAGTTGAATGTTGATCAAATAAAAAAATCAAATCAAATCATTACAAAAACAATATACGTCAACAAAAATATACAAAGATTTTGATGACTTTTATCGTTGGTGCCTTTTTGCATCCTTCCTTCTGTTAGGCCCATGTGGATGGTCCGATGGATGGATGGATTGATTGATTTTTGGTTACATGCTGCTGTTTCGTTGTTGCTGTTGCTGCAAAAGGGATGGAGTCCAGCTCTCGGCTCTAATGCAAACCTATTTTTGTAATACCAAAACAATTTCCCCCCAAAAAAATTCAAAATTCATCACCTCAATACTACCACCACTACTGCTACTCAGTTGCGCGATTGACCTTGTGATGACAAACAACAACAACACCACCATTATCATCATCTTGAAGCAGATATACAGTTGCTGAGAGAACATCATTCCACTTTCGTTGAAACAGTATGAAAACATAATACTTCCTTTATGTTTTTTATTCCAACTTTGTCTTTTTTAATATAAAATTTATTTTTTCAGCATTTTCTTGGTGTGGTAGTTGTATATAAACAATATTTAATATTTAAGAAAATACTTTTGAAGGAAGAGGCAATCTGAGGAGAGTCGTTATAGACGAGCTGAAGAAATTAGGTTTTATAGAAGAGTGAAGCAGGGAGTTTTTTATAGGCAAGCTTAAAGGTTTTTTATAGACGAACTGAAGTGAAGCATAGTTTTTCAAGGACTATCACAGACTTCGATTTAAAAACATATATTTCACGTAGGCGTAGATTTTTAAAATATCAAAGACAATCAAAGGCGTATTAAAAAAAAAAAAACAATTTTTAAAGACGTAGATTTAAAAATTTTTCTAAAGAGTAGAATAAAAAAATCAAGGCGTATAATTGAAAAAATATATTTTTCATATACATACAATTTTTTCCTAAAAATTAAAATAAAGTTATTTTTGAAGACGTAAATATATTAAAAATATTTTTTCTCCATGACCTAGGTCTCCTAGATCAACTTTTCGCTGCACTTTGTGGGGATCTTCGGATCCCCCGTGGATTGGGATTGGGGTAGTGCCCTTAAATAAATCAAATACGATGGGGTAAAATAAGCAAAAAGAATAAAGTTACGGTGCAGGAAGTTAATAACACAGTACCGGCGGCAATCGTTGGTGAAGTCACAAGCCACGATAAGTCAAGATCAAGCGATTGTGATCCGCCTGTTCTAGATGTGGATGCCTTGGCACCTGCAGCTGTATCTGTTACAAGTGCATCAATTCCAAACCAAAACGTTGACGAGCCGGCTATTCCTTTGGCAAATGAGCATGTCAAGACTGATGAAAATCAGTCTCTGGCTGACAGGACTGTACTTCTGGGAGGGGACGACCTACACGGGACTCTAAACACTATCTGCGATAGCCTAGAGAAGCAAAGTAAGGAACTCATCGACCAGTTAGACAGACTGATACCGGAAGAGCAAACTGCTACTGAATCTTACCCTAAATGATGATGAGCTGGACACCACGTTGATCCCAGCCAAGTTCACACAGGGGTATTGCTGTAGTATTAACGAAGGAAGCGCAGACCCTTTTGACCAACCGACTTCAAGTCTGACTACAACAGGTCCTGTGTCGGAACTTGCCGACAATAAACTTCAGAGGCAATCTGAACAACAAACTAAAGTACAACAACAATCATTTCTTTTTCTTATTTCATCAACCATGTAACACAATAATATTTTATATTTGTATGTAGCCCAATGCACCTCCTCACCGATAGAGCTTTAGCCGGAGCCAACATATTTGAATGCCAATGTCACCTTGGTAAATATAGAGGTCGCACCACACACATACATATATAACAATAAAAATGGACGAGACGCGAATTTGATTTCGGAGAGGGAGTTACACCTCATCAAGGGTAAGATGAGATACGTAAGGAAGTTCAAAAGAATCTATCCGCACGCTCTCCATCGTGAACTCCCTCCCGAATCCTACTGCTCGCACAAAAGTGGTAGAATCGGCGTAGCCCACTGTCTCTGACAAAGGTGTTAAGCCGACTTCTGACCTGAAGCCCAGCTCGATTCCGAACACTAGTGAAAATGCACAGGAAAAGGCTATTGAGAACATCCCGAAGCAAGGGGTATTTTTTAATACGTAGATTTCAAGGCGTAGATTTTTTAAAGCATATTTTTTTCAAGGCGTAGTTTTTTTTAAATATATTTTCAAAGCTTCGATTTTTTTATAAAATATTTTTTCAAAGCTTCGATTTTTTATAAAATATTTTTTCAAAGCTTCGATTTTTTATAAAATATTTTTTCAAAGCTTCGATTTTTTATAAAATATTTTTTCAAGGCGTACTTTAATAAACCCTCTTTAGCCGTATATTAAAAATTTAAAGTGTAGATTAAAACATTCAAGGCGCAGATAAAAAAATAACTTTCACGACGTAGATTAAAAAATCAAGGCGTAGATTAAAAAAAATATTTTCAAGGCGTAGATTTTTTAAATGGTTTTTATGTTCTAAATTAAAATATCAAGGAGAAAATATTTTTGTAAGACATAGTTTAAAAAAATAGGGCTTAGATTAAAAACTAAAATTTTCAAGACAGATAAAAAATAATAATTTGCAAGGCGTAGATTTAAAAAAAATAATGTTTTTCAAAAATTGGTAATTGAATTTTGAATTTCTTTAAATTTTTAAGAAATAAATTCAAATATTAAATATTGTTTATTATCCAGCCACACCAAAACATGTCTATGTATTCATATTCTATTATCTGTGTGTACGTCTTTAATTGTCCGTCCATCCGTTTTGAAAATTCTCCACTTTTCCCCATAAGGCGTGCACAAAATGATCATTTAAATATAGTTTTACATTTTCTATAAACGTAATTTTATGCATATTTTTTTCAATTAGTTGTTAAGACTAATCCATTTGAAATTCTCTTTCAGCAACAACGATTTTATGCCCAAAGTGTAAATAGTCTATAAGCGTATTGTCCTAAAAATTAAGGTAGTTTTTAAGTCTTTGTAGACCATAAGAATTGTCCATCTTTTTCCGCTCGTGTTAATACCTTGGAAAAAACTAACATATTTTTTCGATTTTCTACTCTTTCTTTATTCCTGCTGCTCGGGTTGATGGTGGTGGTCGGATTGTCCTTTGTAGATACGCAAAGATTTCATTGAAATGTTGCGTGAACGTGGCGATTCCATTGATCGTCACTGCCGCTGGCATGACATTAAAAAGAAATTCGAAATGGATTCGCGTTATCGTGCCGTGGAGAGCTCCATGTATCGGGAGGAGTATTTCCATGATTTCCTGCGCCTGATGAAGGAGGAAAAACGCCGACGTGAACGGGAACGTGAAAAAGAGCGGGAACAACGTGAACGGGACAGAGAACGTGAGCGTAAATCGGGTAAGAGTGATCGCAAGGATAAGGATAGACGTGATAGGAGTCGCAGTCGCACCAAAGATCATGGCGATCGTGATGAAAAGGAACGTGGTAGCCGCAGTAGCCGAGATAAGGAAAAGGAACGTAAAGACAAGTCATCCGATAAGGATAAGGATAGGGATGAAAAGAAGAAGAATAAGGATTATGTGAGTTCACATTTTTTATTACAAAAAATAAGACTGTTTTAATAACTCTTCTGTTTTTCTCTTTTAGGAGGAAGGTGAACATCAATCCGAGGAAGAGGAGCGTTCAGTCACCACGGACCACGACGAAGAGGAGGAAGCTGAACGCATACAAAAAGAACGTGATCGTCAGTTGAGAGCTGAACAAAGTATACGGGAACGTGAAAAGGAAGTTCAACGCACATTGGCCGGTCACTTGCGTGATCGTGATAAGGAACGTGAATTACACAAACGTGAAGAGGCCGTTGGCCATTTTAATGCCTTGCTAACGGATTTGGTACGTAATCCAGATTTCACCTGGAAAGAAGTTAAACGACAATTGCGTAAAGATCATCGTTGGGAATTGGTTGAATTTTTGGATCGTGATGATCGTGAAAGGTGAGTAAAGAAAGAAGCAGAAGAAAAAAAAAAACATTAAATGAAAAGAAAGGAGACAGTTTTTGTAGATGGGCTAAAGGTTTTAGTATACTAACGAGATACACGAGCTGGAGGCGATATTTTTTAGACGTCCAGAAGGGGTTTTTTCATTAATACAGGTGAAGCATATGTCTTCATGGGCGACATAGGTGTCTTGAGAAGCGTGTCTTCATTGACGAAATGACTATCTTGATAAACCAGTCGAAGGGAATCTTTATAGAAGAGCAAAAGGCGGTTTTTTATAGACAAGGTGAAGGGAATTAAATACAGGTGAGGTGCAGGTTAGGTTGTCCTTTCGGGACGGACTGAATGGAGTTTATATAGACGAAGTTGAAAAGAGTCTTTATAGACGAGCTGAAGGCTGGAGTCTTTCATAGACGACCTAAAGGCAGGGAGTCTTTCATAGACGAACTGAAGGCAGGGAGTCTTTCATTGGCCAGCTGAATTTAGTCTCCACAGAGAAGCTGAAGGGAGACTTTCATAGGCGAGCTGAAGGCAGGGAGTCTGTAATAGACGAGCTGAAGACGGAGTCTTTTATAGACGAGCTGAAAGCAGGGAGTCTTTTATAGACGAGCTGAAGGCAGGGAGTCTTTTATAGACGAGTTGAAGGCAGGGAGTCTTTCATAGACTAGTTGAATGGAGTCTCTACAGAGGAACTGAAGGGAGTATTTCACAGAGGAGCTGAAGGAAGCCTTTCATAAATGAGCTGAAGCTCTATCAGTCTTTCACAGGCTAACTGAAGCCCTGGCAGTCTTTATAGAATAAAGACAGGGAGTCTTTAGTAGACTACGTGAAGCTCAGAGATTTTTCACCTACCAGTTGAAGCCGTGATAGTCATTATAGATCAGGCCTATGATTTTTTTTTATAGATGGGCTGTAGCTCAGGCAGTTTTTATTAAAAAAAAATATTTCTTTTTTAAAAAATTTTTTCATTGACGTTCTGCTCGTGTTTGTAGATGATTTAATAGAGATATAGGATGTATTTATAGAAGTATTTCATAGAGTTGAAGTACATAGGGTCTAGAGTTTTATAATAATCAATCAACACTAATGATGAAATTGTTGCAATTGTATTTTTTTATACCCAGAATTTTCAATGAACACATTGATGGCCTAATGAAAAAGAAACGTGAAAAATTCCGTGAAATGTTGGATGAAATTACAACACTAGAATTGACGAGCAGTTGGAAAGATATCAAAAAACTTATCAAAGACGACCCGCGCTATTTAAAATATAATAACTCGGAAAAATGCGAACGAGAATTCCGTGATTATTTGGTGGATAAACAAATGGCTGCCAAAGTGGCGCTCAAGGAACTGCTCAAGGAATGTAAATTGATAACACACAAAAGTCACGAATTGGTACAGGAAAATCCCAATCATCTCAAAGAGATACTTGATATTCTGAAAATGGATAAGAGGTAAGAGAGTCACATACATCAATTCATAGCATTATAAAAAACATGTATTTTCATTATTTTTTCAAAAAAAGATATCTGGTATTGGAACACATTGCCGAGGAACGTACCGCCATTGTGGTAAACTATTTAGAAGAATTACATAAACGTGGTCCACCACCACCGCCCACAGCTTCAGATGCCTCACGACGTGTTAAGTAAAAATTTTTACGAATTTTTTCTTGCTTTCTCTATTTAAAAAAAAAATTATACCGAGGAATTGACTGTCTGTCTGCCACCTCAACTCAATTATTTTTTAATTTGTGTTGTAACAACATTATTGATAAATAGTGACAATATAGCTTATATTTTATTAATCACACATCCTAATACTAAATAAAAAACACACACATATAAATTATTACCTCTAAGTAATACTTACACATTTACTTCGAATTAAATTAACATTTCATTATAATGTTTTAAATGTAATTTAAAAAGAATAAATTTAATAATAATAATGGGCAATTTTTTTGCATAAAATTGTACAAGATCTATTGTTGTTTTTTTTTACCTTTTTACCCATGACCTTCAGTTTGACTGTTCTTCAGGGCATATAAATCGACTCCTTGTTCTTAAGCTCGTTCATAAAAGACACACATCTTCAGCTTGTCTACAACGACACCGTTTGGTTTACTCTGTATTGCGATGCGTAAGAAAAATCGTTTAGGATCGAGTAAATGGTAATCTCTAATTTGTTTTCGTATCTCCTTTTACATCTATTTGACGCAAATGTGGAATCAAAGCAGTCTGTAATACGAAAACGTGTGTCAAACTCGATCGTTCATTAAGCGCAAAAATGTTTTGTGTTATCACACAATAAAAAGTTTTATTTATATCTAAATTGTTACAGACTCAGCAACGTCAGTTTCAAACTTTAGTAGATTTTATGGGGTAACACTGCGATTTGGCAAAGGTGCTGTTGCAGAGTTCAAATGCGAAACAACGCACCAACAATTTGTGGACACAACTGACCTCAATTCAAATGGACCTCCTGCAAGAGATGTCGCTGTTTGGAAAAAAGCAATGTATTAAATTTTTTATATAAAAAATGTGCAGCGGCCACTTTGGAGTTGGAATTGCTGTGGATCTATTTGGAACGACGAGTTCGTTTTTAATAGTGTTTAATACATACATAAACGCAACTTGATTGAGACGAAAATTTTGCACAAAACTATTAAAAAATTAAATATTTGAAAACGTTTGTCACATAATTCGTACTTCTATTTTCGTATCCGTGGTCACTTAGGGAGAGTAGGCCTTGAGTTAACCTACACGCTGGATTGCAGCTGTGTAGTGTTTTCCAAGCTGAAATCTTCGCGACTTGGAAGGCAGCGGAATTGAATAAAAAGTCTGGATGCAGAGGTCATTGAACCGGTGACTATCTTCGTGGATAGTCAAGCGGCTCTTAAAGCCATCAAATCTTGTTATATAAAATCAGAGGCCTTCCTCAAGTGTAGAACAGCTTTGGAAGAACTTACAAACAACTATCGGCTGTGTTGGGTACCAGGACACCGTGACATCATGGGTAATGAAAGAGCAGACGAATTGGCTAGACGAGGATCTCAATTCACAGATCTAGCAATTGATGACTCAATCAAACCACCCATATATCATCTTTATCGGAACTTCGTTCTTCAACGAAAGAGCCTATGAACTTTGGCATAACGAACCTAGGTGCAATGTGTCAAGATCTATTTGGGCAACTCTGTCCGCCAAAAGGACACACTTACTGTTGAACCTGAGCAAAGCTGAAATAAGAGTAATGACAGGAATCATTACTGGTCATTGTAATATCAGAGCCTTTACTAGTAAATGGGGTCATGATGCAATTGCTTACTGTAGACTCTGCGTTGACGAGGAGGAGACGGAGACAATTGAGCATCTCCTGTGTCAGTGTCCAGTCCTGGCTTACAGTCGGCAAAGACTATTGGGTGCTCATTTTCCACCAAGTCTTAGTTTCTTCTCAACAGCTGAACCTGCTCTAATCTACAGCATAATTAGAAACTTTAAATGGTTGGGAAAGTGCAACCTTGACACGTAATATATCTTCTGTCCGATCTCTATAGCCATCGATACTACTTCAAACTTACCTTTTTTACCTTACATTTTTTCATTTCTCTCTATCCCCGCCTTCTTCTCTCCCCTATAGATCTATCCTAATCCTTTTTTCTTTCGTTGATGATCACAGTGGACCGGACGGTCTCAGAGTGCTGCAGCCATATAAGTGACTGCACATCCCCAAAACTAACCTAGGAAAAGTATATTTGATCGATTTCTTAAATTAATTTTTTTAATTCGTTCATCATTCTCATTTTCTTTGAATCATAACGCCACCGAGTTCATAAAACGATCACATTCGCCTCGTCTATTAAATACTCCTTTTAGCCCGCCTATGTGAGAACAACTTCACCCCGTCTATGAAATACAGCTTTCACCTCGCCTATGATCAGAGATGGCCTATCAGAATCAGTGACGTAAATGACATACATTTCCGACGTATAATACATACGTCAGAAACGTCGGAAACCTACCCAAATCCATTAGGTTTCTGACAAAATAGCTATTTCCATTAATCAATTTGGAAATTACGCATGCTTTATTCAAATTAATATAAAATTTCAAAATTTTCTTCTCAAAAAATTTAAATTTTTTTATCAATTCTTGTATGGAATAGTCAGATATATGTAAAAATAATATATATTCTTGAAAATAACTGTGTATGCTGATAATATTGAAATAAATGACGTTTACTACATTTATTACATTTTATACAGGTATATGACGTTTTCGACGTTTACACCTTTTTGACAGTCGAAAACCTAAAAATTCGTCACACGGACCATCCCTGCCTATGATAGACTCCCTTCAGCTCGTCTATGGATTCTCCCTTCAGCCCTTTAGTTCATATATGAAAGACTCCCTGCAGCTCGCCTATTAAAGAGCTCAGCTCGACTATGGAAGACTCGTTTTAGCTCATACAAAAGATTCGCAGACCTTCAGCTCGCATATGAAAGACTCCCTTCATTCAGCTCGTCTATGAGTTACATTCTGCTCGTCTATGAAAGACCCCTTGGCTTCAGCCAGCCTGTATATGAAAAACTTCAATCAGCTCGTCAATGAAAGACTACCTTCAGATCTTCTATCAAATACGCCATTCAATTTGTCTGTAAAATACTCCCAGAGCTTCATAAAAGACTCCCTGTCTTCGGCTCGTCTATGAAAGACTTCCTTCAGCTCATCTATGAATGACTTCCTTCAGCTATGCATTCGAATTCTGCCTTCTACTCTTCTAAAATAGAAAATTGTTTTTATTAGTTATTAATATTTATTTTTTTTATTTATTTCATTTCATTTTTATTTATACATGTACTTTTTTTATTGTTGTTGCTGTTGCAATTTAGAAATAATAGCTTACAAATGTAATATTTTGATAAAGGTATTATTTTATTATTTGCCAATTGTGTTTTCGCTGCTACTCTTCAATTATTGTTGTTGGTTTCCTTTATAAATAAACAAATATAATTTTTATTGTTTATAATAATAATAATTTTAAATTAATATACCTTTATTTTCAGCATACCGTTTTTATTATCGTTTATTTGTTTTTTGTTGTTTTTTTATTATGAAATCAATTTGTTTTTTTTTTCATCTGTAGGAACTTAAGGGCTAGTGTGTAACCTAAAAAAAGAATCCATTGGAAAAACGTAAACATGTTAGGTGTTTTGGTTTTTACTTTTTTGAAATAGATATAAAAAATCGTAATTAACTAAATTTATCGAATTATTTAACGAGTGAGGGCTATTGTTTTGATCTCTTGAACACCGTTGTCCAGTCTCTTCCCTCTGTAGTTAATGTTGTGTTTTTTGGTTTGCTAAATATTTGAACCATTCCTATACATATAACTGTCTTTGTAATTTATTATGACCTATTTTCATGAGTTGTTTTTTTTTATTTTGTTTTGTATTAATTTCTTGTTTTTTTTTTCATTTTTAATTGTATTGATTGATGCTTAGGCACAACGTATGATTTCCATATTTTTCCGTTTTTTGGTTTTCCATTCTAATAAAATACATTTCAATTTCATATATATATATTTTTTAACTTTCTACTATGGCTGCTTTTATAAAAGTTGAACTGTTTGGTTTGACTAAAAAGACTACCTTCAGATTGCCTTCAACTTGTCCATAAAGATTGCATTAGACTCTGCTGTAAAGACTACCATTAGTTCGTCTTCAAGGTTTCACTTTAGCTCGTCCATAAAGATTTCCTTCGGTGCGTATAAGAAAGCTTCATTAGGTTCCATTCAGCTAGTCTGTGAAAAGCTTCCTTCAGTTTGTCTGTGAAAGACTCCCTTCAGCTGATGTATGAAGTCTCCCTTTAGTTCGCCTATGAAATAATACCTTTAGCTCCTCTGTAGAGACTCCATTCAGATGGTCTATGAAAGACTCCTATCAGCTAGTCTGTGGAAGACTTCTTTTGAAAAAATCTCTATGAAAGGATACCTTTAGCTATGAAAGACTCCCATCACCTCTTCTATGAAAGACGCCCATCAGCTCGTCTATGAAAGGCTCCCTTTTGCTCCTCTATGAAAGACATCGTTCAACTCGTTTGAAAGTGAGCTTAGAGACTCCCTTCAGCTAGTCGATGAAAGACTCATTTCAATTCGTCTATGACGGACTCCCTTTCGCTTGTCTTATATGACAGACATCAGGTCAAACGGCTCAACTTTTATAAATTTTATTTCCTATGATTTATTGTTGTTGGGTTTTTTCTAGTTCTATAATTTCTTGGGTTTTTTTGGTTGTTGTTGTTCTGTGTTCTCTTAACCCACACCCACCCAATTAATTTCATTTCTTCGTTTATTTATTAATTGATTTAATTAATTACTTAGAATTATAGCTTGGTTTTTGTTAGTCATGTTTGTTGGTTGTTTTTATTGTATTGTTGTTTTGTATATATATGTATAATAGGACTACATACTATCATCACTATTTTTATTTTTTTATATTATTTTTTTTCTATAAATCCTATTTCAATATTTTCTTTTTTAAATTTATTTAAATTAATCTGTTTCTATTTTAAATGTTTGTTGTTGTTGTTTGTTGCGAAGAAGACATTTCTTATTGTTTTAATTTATTTTTAATTTATTATTGTAAAAATCTATTATAGTTAAAGATACTATATATTATTGATCGGGAGATATATACGCTGTCTGTTTTTTGTTTGTCGGTTTAGAATTTTATTTCTCTCATTTTTTAAAGGGGTTCAAAGGAAATCCAGGTGGGAGGAAGGTAGGGAAGAATGAAAATGAAAAAAATAATTGTAATAATTTAATAAAATGTTGGACAACAGAAGTATTTTCGAAAGCAATAATGACGATGGCTGTCGCTGAATAAAATAACCATAGGCCATATCGAAAGGCAATAAATTTATTGCAAACAAAACTTCCATGAAAAAAAAAACTCAAAAACACTTGCTGACAAGAAATTTCGGTTTATCACAAAACTATGAAAGACTACTTTCAGCTCGTTTAGAAGGCTCCCCCGTTTATAAACGCACCCTGCTTGAGTCTATAAAGACTCTCTGCCTTCAACTCGCCTCCGAAAGATTCACTGCCTCCAATTCGTATTTAAAAGACTCACTCCAGCTTGTCTATGAAAGACTCCCTCCAGCTTTTCTATTAAAAACTCCCTTCAGGTCGTCTATGAATATCCTCTTTAGCTCGTCTATAAAAAATTCCTCTCAGCTTGTCTATAAGATTCCCTTCAGCTCGTCTTTGGAAGACTTCCTACTTTACTTCGTCTATAAAGACTCCCTTCAGCTCGTCTAGATAAGAAATCTTGTCTATAAAGTCTTTCTTCTGCTCGTCTATGAAAAACTCTCTGACTTCAGATCGCCTTTCATAGGCTCTCTGACTTCTGCTCGCCTTTGAAAGGCTCTCTGACTTCAGCTCCCTTTGAAAGGCTCTCTGACTTCAGCTCCCTTTGAAAGGCTCTCTGACTTCAGCTCGCCTTTGAAAAGTTCTCTGACTTCAGATCGCTTTTCATAGGATTTGTGACTTCAGCTCGCCTTTGAAAGGCTCCCTGCCATCAGCTCGCCTATAGACTCCTGCTTATGTTTTTTCTGGTTCCTTTTTTATCCACCAAAATGTTGTTGCACAATATTTTGTTTTCTTTTTTTTTTTGTTATATAAGTTTAATTAAATTTTTCTTTATTAAAAATTAGTCTCAAAATTGTAATAGTTACAGTTTTAATAATAATAGTAATGATAAGAAACTAAAATAAAAACTAAACATTAATAATGATAATAATTAAAAAATATATATATTTATCGTAAATTGTCATCAATTACAAGTTCTAAACACAAATGAAATGTGGGCATTTAAAATGCCGCGTTTTTATTTTTTTTTTTGTTTACAAAATTTTGAAAAGATGAGGAAGAGAAACAATTTTTTTTAGAAAGAGATATGAAAACAAAAAACTAATAAAAAAATATATAGGACACAAAGAATGTAACAACTTTCACAAATAGCTGTTGGATGTAAATTTTAATTGAAAAATATTTAATATAAAGAGGCGGCCGGGCACACAAGAAATTTAACTCAAAACAATCTTGCTAGTAAGTAGTTTTAATTTTTACTTTGGCCAAAAAGAATGTTTAGGATATATAAATTCCGTTAACCAGAATTTGGATTGGATTTGGACTGAAAATTAATTATCAAACTTAATGATAAATATTTGGGCCTGAAAAATATTAAGTGTATCTAATTTCGTTTATGGGCTGGGCAAAAAAATGAAATCAGTCAATTTCCTGTGTGGCCCCCGTCATCAGAATATCGTAATATTTTATATACCAGCTGAGTTATTGAAACATAGATTGAGCAAATAAATTTTTGTTCGCAGGGGAATTGTGAACAAGTAAACAAAAATAAAAAATGGGGATTAGTTAGGTAGTTGTGGTTGAGTTTTTTTTAAGTAATAATAGTTTAGAAATAAGAGTTACATGATTTCATAGAGTTGTTGGTTTTTTGTTTTGTTTTTTACTTTAAATACAATGGTGTTTAACGCCTTTTTGCTTTGTTATTATTAATAATAATAAGTTCTTTGTTTTTAATATTAATAATAATTATAATATTATATATAATAACTATAAATATAAATTAAAGTAATTGTTATTAATTGTTTCATTAATTTTTTTCTCGTCGGTTTTTTAAACTTAGCTCTTCGTGGTTTGTTGTTTGTTTTTTCTCCTATGTTTAATAATAGTTAATAAATGTTTTAGTTGGTTTGTTACTGTTGTTGTTTTTTGTTTTAATATAAAGTACTTGCATTTTATAGGTTGTTGTTGTTTTTCTTTTGTTATTTTTCTTGGGGTTTTCATCTTTGTTATTTTGAAAATTCTAAATAGTATTGTTTTAATTGTTTCGTTTCTATTTTTCTTTTCATACACTTTGTTGTTTTTGAAATAATATCTATGTATATATATAAATATTTATATAAGTATTTTGTTTTGTTTTCCTTTTTTTAAGTATTCCCATTGGTTATGGGCATTTACACTTCTGTTTTTTCTCATAATTAGTAATAATATTATTATTATACTTTTTTTAATTTGTCTCTTTGTTGTTGTTCTTTTTTTTTAAATAATCATTATAATAATATAAAATATAATAATGGTGAATGACATTTTTTTATACTGAAATAAAACAATTTTTATATATAGAATAATAATTTTTTGTTTTTGTTTAAGAAAAAAGTTTCAACAGAAATCAGTGTTGCTGCTTTAATCAGTTACCCTTGGTGGCCTCCTTGGCGGCCATAATCAATGGTGTCAAACTGGCCAATGGACGAGCCAATTTTAAGAATGGATGCTGTAATGATAGACGAATAGTTATTAACCAAATCATAAAAATAATATGGACAGGGTTGCAGCAACTCACCTTCAGCAGTTCCATTGCACTAGCCCGACGATCAACCTCCACCTCGAGACATTGATCGAGAAAATCTTGAAATACTGCCGATAGTTTTTCCTTTTCCTTAATTTCAGGCTTGCCATTTGTAGCAATGAGGTACAAGGCTTTTAATGGATTCTCATTCAGATAGGGTGGTTCGCCCTCTACCATTTCAATGGCCATGATGCCGAGTGACCATAAATCGACCTAGGGGAATTTTTTTTATTTTTTTTAAATTAAATTTTAAAATATTAGAAAATTTTTAAATCACTACCATGAATAAAAGTGCATTTGATAGTCACCACTTTGGCGAATATGGTATACACCATTGTGAATATGATATTCACTATCGAAAAATGATATTCACCATCGTGAATATGATATTCACCAACGAAAAATCATATTCACCATCGTGAATATGTGAATATGATATTCACCTTCGTGAATATGATATTCACCTTCGTAAATATGATATTCACTTTCGTGAATATGATATTCAACTTCGTGAATATGATATTCAACTTCGTGAATATCATATTCACCTTCGTGAATATGATATTTACCAACTTTTTTATGAAATTCACCATGGTGAATAAAAAATTCACCTTCATGAATAAAATATGCACCTTCACCTTCCTTCAAATATTCAACTTCGTGCATATTTAACCTGATAGAATATTTTATTTAAAATTATTAGTTCTTCCCCAACTCACCTTCGGCCCATATTGTTTTCGTGTCACAACTTCGGGTGCCATCCAATATGGTGTACCCACCATTGTTGTCCGCTTCGATTGTTCCGGTGAGATTTGTGCACAAAAACCGAAATCGGTCAGCTTCACCGAACCGTCCAACCCAAGCAGGATATTATCACTCTTGATGTCACGATGTATAACCTGATTGGAGTGCAAAAATTCTAGTGCCTGCAACACTTCACGACACACTGCCGCAATTTGTCCCTCATCCATACAGGTTTCCGTTACAACATCGGTTAACGAACCACCTGGCAGGTATTCCATAACCACCCACAGTTCTTCCGACACCAAATAGCTGTCCAAATAATTGACAACATTCGGATGTTTATTTTCTCGCATAACGAGAATTTCATTGATGATCAGTTCTTTTTTCGGCTGTTGGGATAGATTCATTTGTTTGATGGCCACTTCCATGCCAGTGGAAGATTCAATGGCGGTGTAGACGGTGCCCGAGGCTCCCTGGCCGATTTTCTCCATTTTCGTGTATTTACGATTGGGATCGCCAACGGAGACAATGGTGCGTAGCTTCTCGAGAATTTCTTCGTCGGACATTTTCTTCTTTTTCGCAGCTCCAGATCGTTGTTGTGTGGTTGTTGTACCACCTGTTGTGGTGGTAGTACCCGCCGTCGTCGCTTGTGGGCCAGCAACGGTGGCAGCACCTGGTGCTGCCCCTGCCGTTGCTGCTGTCAGATTATTTGTATTTGTATCGTTGGCGGCATACAAATCTGTAATGGTAACCGTTGGTGTGGGAGCAGGAGCAATAAGGGTATCACGTGGATGACCGGGTGCATCCGGTGTGGCCGGTGTTATGGTGGTAATTGTTGATGTCGCGGCGGCAACAATGTTTGCACCATCGTCAGCAACATCCATTGATTGAGGAGGCAATTGGGTTGTTGCAGAGGTGGTTGTAGGCGTGGGTAAAGGCGGTGTCGGCATTGCAATCGAATCAATCAACGACGATGATGACGAGGGACAATAGATGGGTGGCAATGTCGACATCATCATATCATCATGATACGAGGGGAACGATGAAAAGGAGGAAGCAGAAGAATCATGATTAGTTGTGTTTCTTGTTGTAGTTGTTGTCGTTGTAGCATTGCAATCAATAAATTGCAATTGATTACTAGTACTAGGTGTAGCATTAAGAGCATCTACAACCGCCTCATTGGGCGTAGAAGTAGGAGCAGTCGTTAGTAGAAGATTAGTAGTCGCGGTAGCGTCATATCCAGCTGCTTGTGCCGTATTTTTTAGCAGTTGCAGGATTAGAGTTAGTAGTTAATGAGTTTTTATTTTTAATTCACACAAACGCACACACACAAGAAAATTAGTAATAAATAGAAGTTGAGAAAACAAATTACTTTTCTTTTTGAGGTTATGTTAAAATGAGGAGAAATATGATCATTTGATAATATTTTATTATTATTGTGGTAGAGGGGTGATGGAAAGAAAGTCAACTTTGTGCGAATTGATTGAGTGTGAGAGATAGAGATACATAAAGACATGTCTTTGGAAAAAAATGCATATTAAGATTGAAGGATAGGTTCGAATAGAGCGAGGTGTGGATTTTTAACTAATATTTTTTCCACAGGTCTATACAAGGCGTGGATTTTTAAAAGAATATTTTTCCTAGGCCATCCAGAGCGTGGATTTTTAAAATAATATTTTTTCCTAGGCCATCTAGAGCGTGAATTTTTAAAAGATTAAAAAAAGCCTGACTATTTTGCAAAAACAGATTAAAAAAATATTTTTTTCCAGAGACTGAACAAAGCTTGGATTTCTAAAGAATGTTTTTTCCAGAGGCTGAACAAAGCTTGGATTTCTAAAGATTTTTTTTCCAGAGGCTATACAAGCCTGGATTTTTAATGAATAAATTTCCAAGACCTTACAAGCCGTGGATTTTTAATGAATAAATTTTCAAGCCGTGGATTTTCAATGAATAAATTTTCAAGCCGTGGATTTTTAATGAATAAATTTTCTAGGCCTATACAAGGCTTGTTTTTTTTTTAAGAATATTTTTCAAGGCCTATACAAGGCGAGGATTTTTAAAGAATAATTTTTCAAGGCCTATACAGGGCGAGGATTTTTAATGAATAATTTTTCAAGGCCTATACAAGGCGTGGATTTTTAATGAATAATTTTTCAAGGCCTATACAAGGCGTGGATTTTTAATGAATAATTTTTCAAGGCCTATACAAGGCGTGGATTTTTAATGAATAATTTTTCAAGGCCTATAGCAGGCATAGATCTTTTGTAAGGTTTTCTGTGGAAATTATATTATTATATTAATATTATATTAACTATATAGAATGTGTAAAAATAAGTATACAAATTACAGTAATTGTTCAACAGATTGCAAAAGGTATAATCGAACATTATTTTTATACAATAAAAAGTTTTCAGAATTTCAGAAGAATCGAGTATAATTTTCCAATTTTCAATATGCATTTGCTAACATGTCTTTTAAGAATAACCAACAAATAAATAAAAAATTAAAGGTCTAGTGTAAAAAAAATAAATACATTTTTTAAACAAAAAAAAACTACAACATTTTAATCGCCGACAAAACTTACTCGCATTATTTTTATTCTTGTCCAATGTTGAGGCGGCTGCCACTGTTGTTGGCGTTTTAAATTGTGGCTGGGCCACATTGTTATGTTGTGGTGTTGTTGGTGTGGTCGCAGGTGCCGCGGTTGGCGGTGGTAATATGGGCGTTATAACAGCAGGCTGTTGCGGTACAACATCTTCTATGGGTCGTGTATATATGGATTTCGTACGTTCGGGCCGTGAGGCAATAGGAGGTGGTGGCGGTTGTGGTGTACCCAAAATATCATCTTCATTCGCCGATGAATGTTGCGATGACGATGAGGCTGTATTGCCACCAAAATTATATGAATGTGATTGACTAATTGTAGCATGTTGACCAGCAGCACAACCGGCGGTCTGTTGATGATGCGATGAGGCATTTTGTGGCGATTGATGGAGATGATGTGGTGGTTGTGGCTGTTGTTGATAATGATGTTGCTGTTGATGATGTTGATGGGAAGGTGTATGATGATTGCCAACATAACCGCCACTGGAATTTGAACCGCCAATATTCAAACTGCTAATGTTGACACCAATTAAATTGCCACCACTGTTTGAGCCATGCAGCTCACTGTCTGTGGGTGTACTGCTGGGACTGCTGCTGCTAACTCGACTTAATGAGGATCCTGGTAATTAAATTAAATTGAATTATTATGTGTTTTTATTAAAAATTAATATTTTTGTGGCACTCACCCGAATGTGTGGTTATGGCATTTGTCATGTACTTGGAACTTGGCCTCTGTTTGGTGGTATTATCGAACCACTTGAGCACATCTAATACAGCTTGAGGATTTTTCTTTTGTTCTTGTTTGCTGATATTCGAATTCATAAGCAAACGTGCCCATGCTTCCGGCATACCCTAAAATTAAATGAATTGCGAAAAAGAAGAAAGAAACGTCAGTGGTGAATATTGGCAAGACATGGAGTGTGGGGAGAGTACTACTACTGCTATAGAGGGGGAGGTGGGGAGAGTTTTCTTTTATTACAACTCAACTCAATCCTTTAAATGTAAATAAACAAAAAAGAAATAATAATTCTATATGAGAATATATAGCTCAGCTGCTAAGCGCAATGATCGTGAAGAGAGTAATTTCAGTTTTTGGTATCTACAACGATGAGGCTTTTGAAAATTCACAACATGTCGCCACAAAATGTGTCCGAATATAGACAGTAAATTTTGTGACCGGCGGCCAGCCAATTAATCGTATTGCTTATTACTACTTTCTATTGCCAAAAATGGTATGTGGGAAGTGGGAGGAAACATCGCAGACATTACATGAGACAGTGTTTAAATTCGGATTTGAAAATCGCCGTAAATACGAGCTGAAGGAAAAAGGAAGGAAGGAAGGGTTAATGGGATATTTTATAGACAAGATGAAGTTGATGGGACTTTCTAGATGAACAGAAGGAAGACGAAATCAAACGTGTCTTTCACAGAGTTGATGAAGTCTTTACAGGCAATCTAAAGGTCACACAGCTTTATAGAGCAGTTGGGAGGAGACCTTATAGATGATCTGAAAGTAATCTTCCTAGGCGAGCTTATGAGAGCTTTCATAGACTTCAAGGTTAAGTTAGCATTTATACAAGAAATGAAGTTCAGGGTGTCGCTATAGATAAATTGAAGACCAAGCCAATCTGATAGACTAGTCGGCTTCATAGAAAAGCAGTTAAATACCAGGGAGGGTTTATAGACCACCATTGACGAATTGAAGGCTAGGGAGCCTTCCATAAACCCATTGGAGATCAGGGCGGTTTTATAGACTACTGAAAACCGGGAGTATTTCTTGACAAAATGAAAGCCAATGAGGGGTCTTTCGCAGGAAAGTTGATGGTCAGGGACTTTCAATAGAATATCTAAAGTCCAGGGGGTCTTTCAAAAAGGAGTTGAAGTTGAATCTGTAAAAAAACCTCAAAGTCACGGAGACATTACGTACGAGTTGGAGGTCATGAAGCAAATAGCCGAAGCGATTCTTTTAAATATCAGCGGAAGACCAGGGTGTCTACCTAGACGTTCTCAAGGCAGGGATTTTCTCATAGACTAAGTGAAAGCAGGGAAAATACTCTTTACGGATGATGTCTTATGGACGAGTTGACGGTTGTCTTTCACAGACAAGCAGGCTAGGGAGTAGAGAAGAATAGAACTGAAGCTGGGAGTCTTTATAGTCCAGCTGAAGTTAGGAAGTTGACTCGTCTTAATAGGCGAGTTAAAACAAGGAGATCCTAGGTGTTTTTAAAGATTTAAGGTTTATTTTACAAATATAATTAGTTTAAGAGGTTTTAGGACAGGCTGAATTGATGGAAAACTCTATTCAGCAAAGCTGAATTGAAGTTTTCCTATAAAAGACACCATTCAGCCAGTCTGAATAGATGATTTTCTATGGGAAAACTCTATTCAGCCAATCTCGGCTGAATTGATGAACACTATGGAAAACATTATTCAGTTAGGTTGAATTGATGTTTTCATATGGAAAACACTATTCAGCCTGGCTGAATTGATGATTTTCAATGGAAAACTTTAAATGCTAAGCCTAATTAAAGTTCTAATATAAAAAACACTATTCAGCTAGGCTGAATTGATAATTTCCTATGGAAAACACTATTCAGCTCTGCTGAATTGATGATTTCCTATGGAAAACACTATTCAGCTCGGCTGAATTGATGATTTGCTATGTAAAACACTATTCAGCTCGGCTGAATTGATGATTTCCTATGGAAAACACTATTCAGCTCTGCTGAATTGATGATTTTCTATGAAAAAAAAAATTCAGCCAGGCTGAATTGATGATTTCCTATGGAAAACACTATTCAACCAGGCTGAATTGAAATATTCCAATTGAAAACACTATTCAGCCAGTTTGAATTGATGATTTCCTATGGAAAACACTATTTAGCTGGGCTGAATTGAGGTTTTCCAATTGAAAACACTATTCAGCCAGGCTGAATTGAAGTTTTCATATATAAAACACTATTTAGCCAGGCTGAATTGGTGATTTCCTATGGAAAACTCCATTCAGCCAAGCAAAATTTATGATTTCCTATGGAAACCCCTTTTCAGCTAAGCTGAATTCAACTAATTGTATATTATTATAAGATTAAAACCTCTATTGACATATTTGAGTATATAAAACATCTATGTAAGTGTATAATAATTTAAATATATAGGTTATAGTTTATATGTAGATCCATCTTGGAAAAGCATGAACACTTAGAAAAAGCCAACTAAGCCACTAATGATCAGTGTTGAATGGGTATGTGTGTGGGTGTTTTTTTTTTTAGAGTATAAAGTGTGGTGTATGAAACTAAACACATAATAATTTTAAAACAAATTCTAAAATACACCATTTTGGAAAAAATTGACGATTAATATTATTTTTTTTTTTCTATAGAAAAGCGGTAGCTTTTCATTCGAACTTATGAAATTGGAAACTATCCTATATCAAAAGTGAAACATGTAATAATGATTGATTGATGTATGAATGACTCTATATGAACGAAAACAATAACAAATTAACCGGTGTTTTTTTTTAGGAGATAGAAGTAGTTGTGGGGTGTTATAAGTACCAACCAAAATACTTACTTTCATTGGCAGCTGAGATTAAAAGTTTGGTTTTTGGTTTCGATTTTGTTCGAAGGATACAAAAAAAAACAAGTAGTAGAGAAGGAAAAAATTGTTTGAAAAAGAAAGAAAAAAGAACAGAACGAAAGAAAAATACACACACAAATAATATACAAGTAACAACAACAAAGAAGTAACCATTTTATAGTGAGGTTTGTTGGTTGGTTTGGGGTTCTTGAAAATCGAAAGAGAAGATATAGCACGAAAAAGGCGGGTAGGAGTAAAACAAAAGTTTTGTTCTTGTTGAATATAATGTTTATGATTTCTGTTTCTGTTCTCAGTTTTAGTTTTTTTTTTTTTTGCATTCAAAAAGTTGCAAAAGAATGGAGATTTTTTTTTTATAAAAAATAACAAATAAAAGAAATTAACTTTTTTCCTTGTGTATGTGAAAAATGTGTGCTAAAAAGTTTTTGTTGTTAGTTTTCTTTTGTTCCTTTTTTGTGAGCTAAGCAAGTGAGGAAATAATAAACAAGCCTGCAAAAATAATATGTAATGCTGGTGGTATTGTATTTCCACACATAGCAACAATGTCCTTCATATTTCAGCAAAGCATAAATAAAACAGCATCAAAAATGTGCAGAATTCACAGAAATTGGTGGCTTTGTTGAAATAGCAGCTCATAAATCAAAGCATTTTCTCAATGTAATTTAGAGTTAAAATTATTTCGAGAAAATAATTTTTATAATCAAAATGAAATTTTATGGGGGAGATTTGATCAGGGAGTCTTTCAAAGACGAGCTGAAGGCAGGGAGTCTTTAAAAGACGAGCAAAGGGGGGTTTCAAAGACGATCTAAAAGGAAATCTTTCATAGACAAGCTGAAGAGAGTCTTTCAAAGACGAGCTGAAGAGAGTCTTTCAAAGACGAGCTAAAATAAGTCTTTATATGCCGCTCTGAGGATTACAACAGGGTGTCTTCTCATGACTCCGATGGGCCACTTACTTGAATTGACAAAAATCCTATCGGTGCGTAGTTGACCATCCAGAGGATGGGCACCAGAAGAATTTGTTCTATATAAATATATGTTTGAACATTTGTGGGGGAGGTATCCGAAGAAGTGGACCCATGGGTCCCATCTTGAGACATGATTTCGGTTTGGAAAAAAAAATATTTCGATGTACGTATTTTGTATTAAATCGGATGAATTTTTAAAATTTTTGACACTTTGTGGGCGAGGTACCAGAAGGTGTAGGCCGATGGTTGCAATCTTCGGCCTTTATGACCCTAGGTAAAAAAATTATGATGTAAAAAAAATTATGATGACCACGAAGTCAGGCGCCAACGAAACGAACTTCTCATTGGGGTCGTATCGCTGGTAACGTAAGAACTTCGAATTATCACAAAAGACATTTGGTTTTGAAAGGTTTTTTGTAAAGAAGCTATTAATAGCTTCTGGAGAGAATATCCCAACAAAAAACTAAGGGAACTGATGAGGATCAGTGGTGAGATCCGAAACTATAATCTTCCCTGCCATACCCCTCGGCGGACAATGCCATACATTCCCCACTTATAAATAGTTGTTTTTTATAAAAACAACAAACTGGGATTAAGCATGACTATTTTGCAAAAACAAAAAAAATCCAAATATTGACCCTTCGTGGGGGAGGTACCAGAAGGAGGGAACCGATGGGACCTATTTTCGGACTTGATATGACCATGGTAAAAATATTATGATATGCAAAAATTGTATCAAATCAGACATTCCATTTGTTTGATATTGGATTAAAATATTATTAAGGCATTGACCGAAGAGTCCCATCTTCGAACTTGATCTAAGATTGGTAAAAATATTACGATGTGTAAAGTTTAGATCAAATCTGATTTTCCATTCGTTTGTATGGGAGGTACTCGAAGTTGTGGACCGAAGAGTCCCATCTTCGAACTTGATCTAAGATTGGTAAAAATATTACGATGTAGATCAAATCAGTTTTTCCATTCGTTTGACATTGAATTAATATATTTTTTCGAAATTTTGGCACTTTGTGGGTGTGGTACTAGAAAGAGTGAGTGAGGAACCAGAAGGAGTGGATAGATGACTCTGATTACCGTACACGATCTAGATTTGGTAAAAGTATTACGATGTGTAAAGTTTGGATTAAATCAGACTTTCAAAATGTTAACCCTCCGATAGGTCTTATCTTCGAACATAATCTTGCTAAAAGAAAAATATTATGATCAGCAAAGTTTGCTGATCATAATCATTTAATCTCGAATTAAAAAAATTCAAAATGTTGACACTTTGGTGGGGAGGTACCAGAATGAGTGGACCGATGAGTGGTCCCATCTTCGGACTTGATTAAGAATTGGTTAACATATTAACATTGCAAAGTTTAGATCATATCGGACATTGCATACGCTTGGTATTGAATAAAAAAACATAAAAATTTTGACATTTCCTAGGTGGACCGAAAAGTGGACCGATGGATCCAATCTTCGAACTTGATATAGTCAATGTAAAAATATTATGATACGCAAAAATTGCTTCAAATGGACATTCCATTTGCTTGATATTGGATTAAAACATTATTAAGATTTTGACGCTTTGTAAGGGAGGTACTCGAAGTAGTGGACCGACGAGTCGAGGTAAATCTGATAAATCCCCAACATAAATGTGGACCAGTGTATTCCATTTTCAATACCAAACCTCCTAAGAGTAGTAGCAATGTATTGCGAGCCCTATCGTCATATCAACAGACAGACACAAATCGACAGAACTTTTTCTGATCAAGTAATAATAATAATATAGACCCCCATCCTTTGAATATATATTACGGAATGATGACAAATTCAAAATTCCTTCAACCACAATGGTGGAGGCTATCATAATTTCAATTCAATATTGATTTCACTAGTTCATTAATTAAGGCAAATAAAATTATATATACACTGGGTCGTTATGAAAAATTATGGCATCGAAAGAGACGGAGGGGAAGAAACAACAAACAAGACAAACATATTTATAATTTTTTTGTTTACATAATTAGATATGTATGCATGTATAGAAAAATATGAACCATAACATAATACAAAAAATGTGATAACGATTATCAAATTTGTTTGTTTGTTTTTTTTTTCTCAAATGAAATGAGGGTCTTGCATTCACTTTTTTTTTTTTTTTTGAAAATCAAGAAAAAAATATATGGCTCTCTACAGAAACTACTGTGCAGAGTAACTAAATGTTCTAAACTTACCGTAAATTCTCCTGTAACCGCATCGAAACCCACATGTACAGTATGTTCGAAATTTGTGGGATACGATATATTCGGTTTTGAATCCTGATGTGATGGCTTAGAGCCTTTGATTTTATTTTTCAGAGTTTTTTTCTTGCGATCTGGATCATCGGGTTCTGTGTGAGAGGCGAAAAATATATATATTGGCATTATTGAGATTAAATGGAAATAAAAATGGGGAAAATACCTTTTGGCAGGGGGCGCATATCGACTGGTGGTCCATCACCACCACTCCCTGTTATGGAACCTCCCACACGATCACCACCACGATTGCTGGTGAGACGTACTGGTGGAGCCGGTGGTTTATCTTCTTCACTGGACATTTTGCGAAATGTTAGACAGCTCTCTCAGCAACAATAATAACAATAGTAATATCCAACAAACTATTCTAAATTCTTAAAGAATTTAAAATTGTAGCGAAATGCAGCGCTTTCTCTCAATCTCTTGTTAACCTTCCAATGACTTGTCAAGCTAAAATGAAAAAAGAAATAATAAAATGATTAATAATTGTGAGTAATAATTAAATTGAAAAAACACTTTTAATTCACACTAAAAAAAACTATATTGTGAAAAATACCAACAACAACACGGAGAGTAGGTACTTCAATAAAAACAATAATATCACTTCTAATAAATATAATTTCTTTATCTGTTGTTGTTTTTTTTTTCTTTTCTTCGTTTTCTTTATCTTCGCTTTTCAATATTTTGTGTCTTCAATGATGTTGTTGTTGCTGGCCTTTGCGTCAAAATAAAATAACAACAACAAAAACCAAATCATGTTCTTTTTATTTGTATAGTGTTTTTATATCAATATTTATTTTGTTATCAGTTCGGAAGAAGGCCATACAGCCAGTCAGCCGGCCGGCGTACCGGCTTGCCGTCATTCACATTCTCAAAATGTTTCTGATTTATTCTATATTCATAATTATCGTTTACTTGAGGAAGAGAAATCAATGGTGACTAGACAGGAAACACAATATGCGGAACTTTTTTTGGAAGAACTAGTGATTGGATTCCGATTCGAAATTATAAAACGAGGTTTGTTCATGGATTTTTTAGGAGATCACTTCAAGGCGTCGATTTTTTAAAGACCAATACAAGGCGTTGATATTTTAAAGAATATTTTTTAAGGACCAATACTAGGAGTGGATTTTTTAAAGAATATTTTTTTTAAGGACCAACACAAGGCGTGCATTTTTTAAAGGGCGTGCATTTTTTAAAAATATTTTTTAAGGACCAACACAAGGATTGGATTATTTAATGAATATTTTTCAAGGGTCGCAACCTTCCTGAATTTGAATACAGAGAAGCCGGAAACATGTATTTTCTTTGTGTCTACGTTGCTACAACGTTAGACAAGTTTAACTTTCTTTTCAGCACTTGTTATTGTTGGTTTTGTTATGTCAAAGACAATCCACATTGCACCACAAGAGAAACATCTAAAATATTTGAATGTCATTGCCACAAAATAGAATAAAAACCTCATCTGTAATGGGCAGTTGTTTACAAATATAAGAGGGGCTTGTACAATAGATGAGCATTTTTTTTTGAATAAAATTGTATTCAGCCAAGTAAATACATTTTTTATCCGCCACAAAACCTTATTTGTTTTCCTATAGAAAAAACTATTCAGCCAGGCTGAATAGAAGTTTTCCTATAGAAAACACTATTCAGCCAGGCTGAATAGAAGTTTTCCTATAGAAAACACTATTCAGCCAGGCTGAATAGAAGTTTTCCTATAGAAAACACTATTCAGCCAGGCTGAATAGAAGTTTTCCTATAGAAAACACTATTCAGCCAGGCTGAATAGAAGTTTTCCTATAGAAAACACTATTCAGCCAGGCTGAATAGAAGTTTTCCTATAGAAAACACTATTCAGCCAGGCTGAATAGAAGTTTTCCTATAGAAAACACTATTCAGCCAGGCTAAATAGAAGTTTTCCTATAGAAAACACTATTCAGCCAGGCTGAATAGAAGTTTTCCTATAGAAAACATTATTCAGCCAGGCTGAATAGAAGTTTTCCTATAGGAAACATTATTCAGCCAGGCTGAATAGAAGTTTTCCTATAGAAAACACTATTCAGCCAGGCTGAATAGAAGTTTTCCTATAGAAAACACTATTCAGCCAGGCTGAATAGAAGTTTTCCTATAGAAAACACTATTCAGCCAGGCTGAATAGAAGTTTTCCTACAGAAAACACTATTCAGCCAGGCTGAATAGAAGTTTTCCTATAGAAAACACTATTCAGCCAGGCTGAATAGAAGTTTTCCTATAGAAAACACTATTCAGCCAGGCTGAATAGAAGTTTTCCTATAGAAAACACTATTCAGCCAGGCTGAATAGAAGTTTTCCTATAGAAAACACTATTCAGCCAGGCTGAATAGAAGTTTTCCTATAGAAAACACTATTCAGCCAGGCTGAATAGAAGTTTTCCTATAGAAAACACTATTAAGCCAGGCGGAATAGAAGTTTTCCTTTAGGAAACACTATTCAGCCAGGCTGAATAGAAGTTTTCCTATCGAAAACACTATTCAGCCAGTTTTCCTATAGAAAACACAATTATGCCAGGCTGAATAGAAGTTTTCCTATAGAAAACACTATTCAGCCAGCCACGCTGAATAGAAGTTTTCCTATAGAAAACACTATTCAGCCAGGCTGAATACAAGTTTTCCTACAGAAAATCTCAATTGGGACACCCTATTATACATATAATCCACACTTCCGCATTCTTGTAATTTCTGTAAACCAGTGTTATCAGCTGAAGCAGCAGCCGCAGCCATCCCCGTTGAATAAAGAATAACAAAAAATATTAAGGAATTTAATAACCAGATACTGTTCAATTGCAAATGTATCTGTTCGTGTGTGTGCATGAGTTGTGATACCATTCACAACTTTGCTCTCATTTCAACAACAAGAAAAAGCAATTTTTAAATAAAGAACTGTTTGAGTACTTGAACAGGGTTCATGTGGTACTCGACTTTTGTTGTTGCTTCTGTTGTTGTTCGTATTGTCAATTTCTGTCTTCATTTACAAGCAATGACATGCTGTTGCACGCATCTCAGAGATAAATTTCATTCAATAAAACACGAACTGAACGAAGATGACGAAGAAGAAGCTCAATGGCAAAGCAAAGAGAGGTAGCACTGCTATCACCACCACCCCATCCACTTATAGAAATGCTCCCACTGAAGACGTCATTGTGGTGACCGCACAACGTGCAACGTATGATTTTACAACAACAGCAAGAAAACATGTATTACGACAAAGAAAACAAGCAGAGAATAAAGGAAGAAAAAAACGGCGACAAGGGCGCTGTGTTGTCGATGATTCATCGCAAAATTGTCTGAAAGTCTGCAAAAGGCATAAAAAAAGTTTGGGGGAAACTTTGTGAGCGCAAAATTCGGAAACAAATATTTGAGGGGGCAATGGTAAAAGTTTATGTTGATAGGCCTTAAGTGAAAAGGAAATTATTTTATTGGTGGTAAGGATAAAATAAAAAATGGGGGTTCTTACAAAAACGAAGGATTAAAATCATGATATGGAAAAAAGTTATATTTAGTTCATTTATTGTACGGAAATTCTTTCACATAACCTAATTGTTGTTATCTGCTTATATTTTTCAATCCATGACAAAATCTCTAAGCTATACCAAAACAAAATGGGTTTCTACTCATTGAAGATAAGATTTCCTATAGGAATCACTATTCAGCCAGGCTGAATAGAAGATTCAGCCTGGCTGAATAGTGTTTTCGATAGGAAAACATCTATTAAGCCTGGCTGAATAGTGTTTTCGATAGAAAAACATCTATTAAGCCTGGCTGAATAGGGTTTTCGATAGGAAAACATCTATTCAGCCTGGCTGAATAGTGTTTTGAGTAGGAAAACTTCTATTCAGCCTGGCTGAATACTGTTTTGAGTAGGAAAACTTCTATTCAGCCTGGCTGAATAGTGTTTTGAGTAGGAAAACTTCTATTCAGCCTGGCTGAATAGTGTTTTGAGTAGGAAAACTTCTATTCAGCCTGGCTGAATAGTGTTTTGAGTTCTGAATAGTGTTTTCGATAGGAAAACTTCTATTCAGCCTGGCTGAATAGTGTTTTCGATAGGAAAACTTCTATTCAGCCTGGCTGAATAGTGTTTTCGATAGGAAAACTTCTATTCAGCTTGGCTGAATAGTGTTTTCGATAGGAAAACTTCTATTCAGCCTGGCTGAATAGTGTTTTCGATAGGAAAACTTCTATTCAGCCTGGCTGAATAGTGTTTTCGATAGGAAAACTTCTATTCAGCCTGGCTGAATAGTGTTTTCGATAGGAAAACTTCTATTCAGCCTGGCTGAATAGTTTTTTTTTCTATAGGAAAACTTCTATTTAGCCTGGCTGAATAGTGTTTTCGATAGGAAAACTTCTATTCAGCCTGGCTGAATAGTGTTTTCGATAGGAAAACTTCTATTCAGCCTGGCTGAATAGTGTTTTCGATAGGAAAACTTCTATTCAGCCTGGCTGAATAGTGTTTTCGATAGGAAAACTTCTATTCAGCCTGGCTGAATAGTGTTTTCGATAGGAAAACTTCTATTCAGCCTGGCTGAATAGTGTTTTCGATAGGAAAACTTCTATTCAGCCTGGCTGAATAGTGTTTTCGATAGGAAAACTTCTATTCAGCCTGGCTGAATAGTGTTTTCGATAGGAAAACTTCTATTCAGCCTAGCTGAATATTGTTTTCGATAGGAAAACTTCTATTCAGCCTGGCTGAATATTGTTTTCGATAGGAAAACTTCTATTCAGCCTGGCTGAATATTGTTTTCGATAGGAAAACTTCTATTCAGCCTGGCTGAATAGTGTTTTCGATAAGAAAAATTTTAATTCAGCCTGGCTGAATAGTGTTTTCGATAGGAAAACGTATATTCAGCCTGGCTGAATAGTGTTTTCGATAGAAAAACATCTATTAAGCCTGGCTGAATAGGGTTTTCGATAGGAAAACATCTATTCAGCCTGGCTGAATAGTGTTTTGAGTAGGAAAACTTCTATTCAGCCTGGCTGAATAGTGTTTTGAGTAGGAAAACTTCTATTCAGCCTGGCTGAATAGTGTTTTGAGTAGGAAAACTTCTATTCAGCCTGGCTGAATAGTGTTTTGAGTAGGAAAACTTCTATTCAGCCTGGCTGAATAGTGTTTTGAGTTCTGAATAGTGTTTTCCATAGGAAAACTTCTATTCAGCCTGGCTGAATAGTGTTTTCTATAGGAAAACTTCTATTCAGCCTGGCTGAATAGTGTTTTCGATAGGAAAACTTCTATTCAGCCTGGCTGAATAGTGTTTTCGGTAGGAAAACTT